GTCAACTATGACAGGAAGTGCGTCAACACATTTATGCAAAAGGCTGTTGGCAACCTTGGTTGTGAAGTAATTCAACATCCCCTCCTGAGATTTTTTGACAACAACATATATCGCCCAGACGGAGTGATCTTTCTCCATGTTCCTGTTGTAAATGTGTCAGCATAACAAAATTAAATGCATAAATGTATACCTGTGTACAGTGGTGGAATGTGATAGGGTTAGAACTGATCTATACTGTATGTTGCAATTAGCAGTAGTGTTTGAAATGTAGAATTCATTTAAATATGCCTTGGTTCATTTTGTATTATCTAAACTAACTGAAAAAGGAAAACAATTATAGAGCTAGGGAGAAAATACTGAATAATTTAAGCTAACTATATCGTCACTTGCTAGCAACATACTAGATAACCTGTATAATGCACTTTGGTCTTTTATTGATGTTACAATGTAAACAGTAATTATGGCAAAAATAGCTTTCAAATGTTAAAACAGGTGTCAAAATGGTCAATTGTTGGTCATAATGGGAAACAGCGATGAACATTAAATATTACTATTACTGATACTACAGACAATATCCTGTATCAACCTTTTCCATTTGTAGTGGTATAGTAGGACTTGTCTATGTCCTTATTATATATAAACAAAAACACATGACTGAAGAGGATGTATTTCTTTGTTATTCTTCTGCTTTTTTAAGTGCAGCCAAACTTTACTGAACCGTATCCAGACATCCAGGGCAAACAAGAGGTGGATGGTCCCTGTGTGACAACAGGGCCTTATGACTGCTGCTGTAGTGTTTTAAAATGTAGCCACGAGTAAACATCCTGTAAACTGAGATGCATTACCTCAGACTATAACTACTTCACATGACTAAACCCCCCTGACACAAACCCTAATATAGCTCATGTGTGTCTGCGGATCTATTTGTGTAAATCCACAATATACAAGAAGCGGGTTTTTTGGCATAAAATACCTTATATTTAACTAATAGGACCAGACTGGGAAGAACATTGCTTAGAATTCCGCATTTTATGACCCAGTAAACCCACAAAAAGTGATGATAGTAAGCAAACAAAGCAGTAGACTGACCTCCAGGTGCCTGTACAGTGGTGACCTTTGAAGTTAAAGATAGCGATGTGCTGCCATCTACAGGCTTCTATGTGCACTGACCAAATTCTGTAAAAAATAGCACATTTCTGTCATTTAACATTTAACTGCAAGAAACACATATTTTCACCATTATATCAAAGTTATCAAAATACTTTCATCAATGGAATATTCTGCATGTTCAAAATCCAACTAGTTAGTAAGTCCTGCCATTGAACAATGTTTTTTTTGTATTAAGTATCTACAGTGGTTATTACAATCCAATACATTTGTTGGTCCTAATTCAAATAGGATACCTTTTATTTGTGTACACTGTTCTTTCCCCGTCTGAAAACACGGGCGCTGATCGGCTGACGGTCATCACGTGGCCTCACAGCTGATTTCGTTGGATGAGGTGTTTTGCTTTGACCGTTCATCATTTCATGAAGCCATTTCTGGTTAGCATCGCTGCAGAGTAGCACAGCAGTGAACTGTAGAGATAAACCATGGCACAGGCAGCACATGCAGCACAGGAAAATGTCTTGGACGCAAACAGCTCTCAGATCCAGGTGGAGCACGATAAGAAGCGCCGGCAGTTTGTTATCCGACTAAACGGTGAGTAAGCTATGTTCAACATGTAAACAGTAGCATGCTAACAGGCTAATGCTAGCTCTGCTGTTGTTCTTTTCTTGCTGCCAACATCGTCGTCGTTTTCTTATTGATGTCTCAAGCTGCCACTTCAGACAGAGCCGTTGTTATTTGCACATAGTTGCGATGTCACAGATATAATTTATTGTAAGGACTGAACAGACCACTGTGCTTCTTCTTAGTCAAAGCTGCTGACTTCCTTCATTTGTAACTTCACCTGCTTGTTTTTCGGAAATATTTTTGTTTGTTCCATCCTGAAAGCAAATAGGCAACAAGCATCCACACCTACTAAAGACAGTTGTATAGACAATCCTGTCATATAAACAGACAATTAAAACATTACTAAAAAGGAAGTTCAAGTACAACAACCTAGTTCCTCTCCTCGACCTTAACAAAACCAACTTCCAATTTTAAAAGCTGAAAACAGGTGTTTATAACCGTATCAATGTGTATATTCCAAGGTCAGTTTCAATTATTGTTTAATTTAAATCGTTTTTGATCATTTATTAATTAAGATGTGTTTACAGCAAAAGGCAAAAGCTATTGTTCCCTCAATAAAGATCTTTATCACATCTCTTTCTTCTCCCAGAGTTTTTAAATTACGGGCTCCACATCAAATGGGATTAAACAAGGGACCCTCTTGTTTTGATTGAGTGACCACTGAGGGAAATGACTCATGCCTTGTATTATTGAGCAGCCATGTTGCAGTATTATATGTAAATTAAACACTGCTACTGCAACTTGATCAATAACTTAGCCTTTGGGCAATATCTTTTTTTTGTGTTTTAATCAATATTTTATGAATATGTTATAGACTTGTGAATTAATTGTTTGGTCTATAAAATGTCAGTAAGTAGTGAAACAATGTCCATCCAGGTTTCTATGATACAAAGTGAAGGTTTTTCATGTCTTCCTTTTTAAGACCATAACACAAATATATTGAGTTTAATATAAATAAATAAAAACATAGAAAGGTAGGAAATCTCCTTGTGTGAGATGGCCATTTTTGGATGAAACGTGAAATCGGCAATTATCTTTTCTGCAGACTGACATATCATTGAAGCTGTAATTAAGTTTGTCCTTAAAGGTCCTCTATTGTACTATTTTTCAACAATATATCAAAGATCTCGGATATACACAAAACGTGTCTCTGAAGTGTTTGGCTCGAAATACCAAAAAGATCATCTCTAGGAGGAGATTCAGGTGATAAGGTGGGCGGCTGTTACCTTGGTTGGTTATTGGCTATGGTTGCACGTAACCCAAAAAAACATTGTGACATCACAAAGACCAAATCTGATGAGCTCCTTTTCAGACATGTTTTTATACGTCTGGCAGTGGTTCCGTCAGTAGAGGCTTGGACTGGGAGCTGTAGGGTCGCCGGTTCAAGTCCCGGACCAGACCTAAAGTATGGAGTGTGGACTGCTACTTGGACTGTCCCAGTTCACCTCCTGCCCTGCCGTGGTGCCCTTGAGCAAGGCACCTGACACCCCCCCCTTCCCCCCTCACTCCCATTGCTCCCCGGGCGCTGTGCAATAGCTGCCCACTGCTCCTAGTAATGGACTCCTGGTACTAGGATGGGTTAAAAGCAGAGAACACATTTCACTGTGTGTGCCATTAAAGAGGGTTTCATCCCTCCGATTCTATTCTATTCTATAAATGGATCAGGACAAAAAGAGAGAGAATCTTTTTTCCAGAAACTTTCCGAATCTCTTGACACAGAGGGGACACAAAAAGTGGATTTTGCATTTTAAGTGACCTATTGAACTTGTATGTTTTATCAGTATTCCCTTGAAGAAAGGTGGGGATTTTGCTGCTGTTAATAAGCTGTAGATGAATGGGTTGCGTGGAGAAAAACTAAACAAACCTTGTTGCTATGGCCTCTGTCTGCCCTCAGGATCTCATGATCGTGCGGTCCTTCTGTATGAATACGTTGGGAAGAAGACGGTGGACTTGCAGCACACTGAAGTTCCAGACGCTTACAGAGGGAGAGGCATAGCCAAGCATCTGGCTAAGGTAAAACTTAAGACAGTTTTTTTAATTCATCTTAAGAGAAGACGGAGCCAAATTGGGAATCCTTACACCATATCATTTTATCATCATTTCAAATACATATAATGTCTTTTGAAATGTATTGTCTCTGCAACCTTTTTTGTTGCAATGGCACTCAGCATTGTGCATTGTCCGTAGAAACAGAACAAGTTAGCCCGCTTCATTAATAACAGTTCTTTGCACTGCCAACGTAATGTATAAAAATGGCCGCAGCTCTGAACATCCTGCTATGTTTACTTGATGTCAATTCGACAATGATCTATATCTTGGATGCAATTGAATGTCGTTGAACCCAGATTACACTAGTGATGAGCTCTGGGAAAACACTTTTTATTATAAAATGCAGAAAAGTATCTTATTTTATTGACTTCACTAGTGATCAACCTTGTACCTTAAATCTGGATTGCACACCTCAAAACGTTTTATTGAATCAATAATTACTTGTGTTTTTTAATTAATGATGGAAGTGTCCATGTGAAATGCTCTCTTATTAAATGTGTGTGTAGATGTGATTTGATGTTTCTGTGATGGCAGGCAGCCATGGACTTTGTGGTGGAGGAGGATCTGAAAGCCCACCTGACCTGCTGGTACATTCAGAAATATGTCAAAGAGAATCCGCAGCCTCAGTACTTTGAACATATCTATCAATGACCATAGATGGCTCCGACGGGGAACACACAGAAAAAGAGACTGTGAGGGGATAAATGAACACTCTGTGGCATCATGCTTTCCGAGTTACAAGCTAACACACAACCACAGACCTTCCAGGTATTGTTAAACATGATGGATCTCAAGGAAAAGCTGTCTGAAAGATGAACGTTGAGTTAATGGGTCGGTGACACACTGGCCACAAAACAGGAAGTGAATCAGCAGGTCAATAAAGACATAAGCAAATAAACTAACCAAAGCTGAAGCCTGCGAGCTCCAACATCATTCAGGATGCATCACTGACTGAAAGCAAGATTAGGACCTGTCCTGAGAGCAGATTTAAATCCTATGTTGGAGATTTCCTGTCCTCCTTTGGACGCACTGGATGTGAGCAGCGCTAAAAGATGGCCGACCCAAGTGTCTTTCTCCATGATGGTTTGGACAGAAGCAATGATGGCTTCACTGAGGCTCAAACATGATGACTTTTATATTTCAACACCTTTTTGATATTCTTTGGATCTGTTTTATGTTATTTCTTTTCCAATTTTGCCTTCCTCAACTCTCTTAGATTTAGTATTTTTATGGCTGGAATGCTTATTAAATACACTACAAATGCTTAATGCATATTTTAAACATCACGCTACTCAAGAGGGTTTCTTTCTAGGTGATTCCAGATGTTTTTGGCACACATATTTAGTTGGTATTGTATTAAAAGCAATCTATATTTTTAATCTTACAAACCCTCAATTTGCTTCAACTGTTACTGTATCCAATCCCGTTGTCCCCAGTAACAGAATAGCACTATATTAATAAAGTCATACATTGATAGTCAAAGGTACAGGGGTTTATAAACTAAAGAACTCAGACTGAGGATATCCGACTCATCATTTTCTTCACTGTACGTGTTACATATTACAGACACTTGTGATAAATTGGGTCTGAAGCTTGACTCTGTACAGTACTTCGGGTTGGATATAAATAAATACATCCGTGCATACCAGCATTTAAAAAATAATAATAACACTGTTACATTTAGGGCATTTACATTGTATGGTGTCCACCGTGCATGTTATGTCTTTTGAGAAAGTTTCACTGGATGACAAATGCGTATTACTTTTCTTGTAAAGATTACCATGGAAGAAATATTCACTTCTTTACTGAAAAAAGATAAAGGGTTCACTGTGTCCTTCCTGTTTTGGCTCTTCAGTAGCTTTTGCTGGTGACAATCTTCAGTGTTGAGGAGAAAAATAGCTCAGGTAACTCAACACACTCTGGTTACTCCACTTTCCCTCTGTCAAATGTTACACACCAAGATAATGTTTTATTGTTTGAGTTACTTTTTATATTTGTGTTTTCTTGATAGGAAACAAATGTTTGAATTACAGGTTTTGGTGGCTCTACCAAAATGTACCATTTCTTGTCATATTTTTTGTGTGTTCGAGACTTTTTTGTCCATTCTTCTTGTCTACAAATAAATAAAACAATACTTATCATATTATCCATGTCAATGTTTGTATTTTTTTTTATAAAACAGGGTAGCATATAGACATACTACCTTCATAAACAAACTCATATTTCAATATATTTTAAGTCAAGGCTCAACTTTGCTGTGTTATTTCAAAACAAACAGGGCATTAGTAGTTATTGCAAGAAAATTAGATTTTCCAGTATTCATGCAATAAGAAAAATATAAATAGATTAAGTGCATATATACAAGTCTAAACTATGTATGTATATCTTGGCTACTTCAATGTTAACACCCTGCAAACCATTTAAAGAAAAACTCGGAAAAAGCGTAGATCTTGGCACCATCTATTGGCTTTATCAAGAATTACTAGAATTCTGTGGGACATAGTGTGCTTTTAACAATGCAAGGGCAAGCACTTTTCAAATGGGTGAGATGGAAATAAATCTGCTGCCTAATCCCCTGTTTGAAATCACAGCAGTTAAACTACAAACCTGGCTGGTACACTTGGAGCCTTTGGGGCTCTCATCAACTACAAAACATCTCCTGGTTACTCAAAAGACCCGGAAGAAATGCTCTCAGTTAAATGTGGTGGCTCTGTAATGTTAACCCACCAAAAACTCACACCACAAACATGTAAAAACTCCACTTGATGTCCAAAATCCTGTTGAATTGACAATTGTCATCAGTGAGAGTGAATGTGATGTGCAATCATATCAATCTATTGGAGACACGGAGGTCATGTCCTAGTTGTTCTGGTGGTTTAAGACCTCAGGGGGACATACTATTTTATAATCCAAAACCGTGTTATCAAACAACCTGATTCCAGTGAGTTTGGACTGAATAGGTACATTTGAATAGTTTGTGACTAACAAAAATCCTAGGCATCAATATCTAACTTTGAGGATTAAACATGTCTTGACCCATTTCTTTTCTCATAAAATGCTAAGTGCACCAGTGTAAAATAATAAGCTTTGCCTGATTATTACCTTTACAAAAAGAAACAATTCTAATCAGGAACTATATCTTTCAACAAACCTTTAAGTCTAATAGGGAGGCTGTGGCGCAGTGGAATAGTGCGTTGGTGTTCAGGAGCACAGGTTCAAACCCCACTACAGTCATCACACTAAATACTGTGGGGATTGCCCACAGTATTGAGTATGTAAGTCGCTTTGTAGCGTCTAAAAACATGTAATGTAACCAAGTTTCCATGCTATACCAACATTAATTATTTGAAATGTTTTGATTGTTTAATAGGATGTATACAGATGCAAGGATGAATAATGAACATGTTAATTTATAGATCATTTACATACCAACATATAGACGTGCAAGTGTCTCCCTGCAGCCTCCATCTGTTGTGAGAAATGTTGGTGGTGCAGATATTAAATATATATTGGTTAGATTTGTATTGATTTGTTATACAATCATGTTTATCTTACACCTGTGACATAGTTTTCACAGGAGCAGCATTTGGGTTCAGCTGATCTCACATTCCACAACGTTGCCATTATAGTTGTTACATGCAAAGCCCTTCAGATTACAGCAGCAGGACAGACACAGACAGAGCGGTAAAGCATGGATAGGTGAGGACCCAGAAGTCATCAAACACAAAAACCATTCACAAAATTAGATGTGAATGTATAAAGTATGTTGTAACCAAAGCATGCACTCTTACACAATTATTAATTAAAATATTGAACTCCCATTTGTTATTTAGATTTATTTGTAATACCTAATTAATTATTATGTCTTACACCAACATACATCAGCTATCTTTGTGTTATAATTATTTGGAATAAGGTCTGACCTTTCAAACTTCTGTGCTATTATAAAATACGTCAAGGCAGGTATCTCTTGCTTTATGGGAGTTGTAGTCCGCAATAGGTTCAAAGTGATGCCTCGGCTGCGTTCATACACTTCATTACCCAGAAGGCTTCGCGCACTCATACGTCAACTGCAATCACGGCTGTATCTCCAACATGGCGTCGCTGGGAAGGAGGCGCGGTGTCCCAATAAGCAGGGAGAGGTCAGTTACTCCACATCTTAGCTATTAAACGAAATTGTTTTAATATAATACATCGTTTTCTCGATGTTGCCATTCAACAGACCCCGACCATGCATATGGTTTGGCGCTTAAAGTGAAACGCCAACACGACAAGTCAGAATTTTGTTCCAGGGTTAGCTAACGCTAGCAGGCTAACGTGTACAGCTAGCTTAATGTTAGCAAGGAAACAAACTAGCAGCTCATGTGATGTTTTGGTTATTTCACAGCAGCCGATTAATCGTGGGAAAAGTTGCGTTTAACCGTCTGCGGGTGTTTGAGGTGATGTTGTGTGCCTCGGCTGGCTAAATGCTAAACATTTGTGATTGGGCTCAGAGTTTGGTCCACTGTGTTTGTCGACATGTTTTAAAAAGTGAAACGCACCTCATCTTAGCTGCTCCCAACTTTTCACCATGCATGCGAGTTAGCTTATGTTATCCAACCGATGGACAGGTACATAATGTCCCTTGCACTGTCGATGTTAAATGAATTATTCGTTAGCTAATGTCCGCGAAGCCTGATAAGCCTGGTGACTCTTTAAGTCTTTAAGGTTTGTTTGCTCTCATCATGCACTGAAAGGCCTCGCATTGTTAACACTGATCCACACATTACATTATTTAGAAACACCTGGAAACACTACACTGTAAACACAATTGGTCGACAAATAAAGCAGATGGAAATGAGTTAAGATAAAGATCTAAAAAGTTGTTTGTTACAACGGCTGTGTTTTATGTGTCATTGACATGACATTACATTACATGACTTCAGCTATGAACACTTGTGATGACCATTTCACCATTTTTAAATGTTTATGAATGAATGTTAAACAATATGGAAGAATTACTAATTTATCCCAAGTTGAAATAATAGATATCCAAATAAAATGTGGAATTACCAATGTAGGATACATTCAAGAATACAATTTTAAATATGCTTTCTAATGTTGTATTCCCAATCTTACACTCTCACACTTTATAATTGAAAGGTCGTCTTTTACTTAAGCAGGTATCATTTTAACTAGAAGCTATTCATTTATCAGTCATGGAAATAGTTTGTAATGTAATAGTTGCGTGGTTGGTACAGTGTGTACCAGGGAGTAATGATTGATAGCAACACATTAACAATCAATCAAACACAGATGTTTAAAAAGACAGCACGAGTGCCATGTTGAAACTATATAGTTTACAAAAACAAATGTTATATTTATAGGTATGTCTTATTTATATATTATATATATACACACACGCGCACACGATAAGGGTTTCAATCGAAAAACAATTTGGGTACAATAACCAGCTGGGGATGTTGGTTTTAGCAATTCAAGACAAAAACACTCACAGATCCATGAAATGTCGCCAGATTGATGTAAAAAATGTAGTCAAAACCGACCTTGACACTGCAAGCATTTTAACATTTCTCTCATTGTTCTTTGCCTGTTTTCTGTTTCTGAACAGGGGAGTGATGGCAGCGACAGAATGCTACATTGTGCACGAGATCTACAACGGGGAGAATGCGCAGGACCAGTTTGAGTACGAGCTGGAGCAGGCACTGGAGGCCCAGTATAAATACATTGTCATTGAGCCCACGCGCATCGGAGATGAAACGGCCCGTTGGATTACCGTGGGTAACTGCCTGCACAAGACGGCCGTGTTGTCAGGCACTGCTTGCCTCATGACGCCACTTTCCCTGCCCATTGAATACACGCGCTACGTGGCGTTGCCCGCCGGCGCCCTCAGTGTGGCCTGTTCTGCCCTGTACGGCATCTCATGGCAATTTGACCCCTGCTGCAAGTACCAGGTGGAATACGACAGCCAAAAACTCTCGCGGCTGCCCCTGCATACGCTCACCTCCTCGACGCCCGTGGTTTTGGTACGCAGGGATGACGTCCACAGAAAGAGACTCCATAACACGATAGCACTGGCCGCCCTGGCGTACTGCGCCAAGAAGATCTATGAACTCTATGCGGTATGAGCGCACTCTGAACAGGGTTTAAGAAGCAACCGGAAAAAAGGAAAAAACAAACAAAAAAACAGAACCTATCCAACCCCAGATGTAAGGAAAGTGGAAGTCCCGATCACACATGGTGGGTGCTTCCATTTTGAACTTTGATCAGAGGGATATAGTTAAAACTAGAATGAATTGTTTTTTCCCTTGCGTTTTATTTTCTTCTATGTGACAACAGCAGCACACTTATTTCCTTAGTACCCTTGTGCATCCTTCCCTGCGCCCTCGACCTGCTATCCTTGACACACAAGCAAGTGCACAAGGGTACGGCAGCAGTTCCTCCGGATTGAATTGTTTTGCAGTTGAAAAGGACCGACATGTTTTGAGTACCATGCTCTTTCCCTCGTAGTTTTACTGTACCCCTTCCCTGCTGATCAGTACACCACCCTTTCATTAAACATTAGGTTATTTCCAACTAACTTTTCTGTATTTTATTTTACTTTTTTTTTTTCATTAAATGGATTCTCAACATTGTCCAGAGAAGAGCAAATAACTGCAACTTATTTGAGATTGTGTCTTGTTCATGTAGATATTCTTGTTTAAAAGAGTGTAAGAAAGATCTTCTGTGGCTCAATGTCCTCTTTTGAATCACTACATAAATACTTACTTTTAGAAAACCACACTTCCCACATGCTTTTATTAATGTATATTACATTGACATTAGGCCAAACAAAAATAAATAAATATATTTGACACTAAAGACAGCCAATTATAAATTCATACTTTCTTGTACATGTTACCCAATGCTTGTTATGAGTTTCTGTTTAGATTAGACGTTTTAATTTGGGGTCCCATGAAGAGATACAAATATGGACTAAGTGAGTTCCGATAAAAGAAGAGACGTGAATTATAAAGTGAAATTTAAATGTGAATAAGTGGAATGCCAAGAGTGACAGTATTGTTTTCGGGGTCACTGATTGGAAGGACATCAGCAGGATGAGGACTGTTGACTTTGCCAGCAGGACTTGAGCAAAATACAACTTGTTCATAAAGAATTTCCTAAATTTTGTGTAAATACGTTAAAGGTCCATCAAGAAATGTATTAAATAAATTGTAAACCCTGTTTCAAGGTTTGAAAATGGGTGGTGTTTCAGTAAGTATTGTGATGCAAACAGACAGCTGTGATTTCTATCAGTCTGTGGACAATTTCAGACGTCAACAGTGAATCTATTACTTCTATCACACTGGTTTAAAAGGATAGTGAAAAGGTATTCAAGAGTTTACTTCATGATGCTCATCTGCTTTTTCTCTTTTAAACCAGTAAAGGGGGCGTACAACTGTTACAAAAAGTGATAGTTTCTTCCTACATTCTACATAACTTGGAGAAGATAATAAAGGTAAATTGTGCGATTGAAAAAAAATAACATTTACGCACACAGTCTGCAACACATTCTAATGTAATTTCCTCCCACCATACATATACCTGTATGGGACGGGCAGATCTGAGGCAGAGCAGTGCTCAGAGGACGGCCTGACAGACTCATTATTTTACTGATTTGCAGCCAGAGCAGTCTAATTATCTGTCAGCTGACTGGCTGCTACGTGAGGTTGTTTGTCAACCATTTTAAGGTAGCGATGCTTGGTCTGCTAGAATAAGAATGCTCCAGTCATCAGAAAATAGCCACTTTTTACTTATTCTCCCAAGAAAAAATCTGAGTTCCTGTGTAAATGCAATACTAGAGAAATATATTGACACATGCAGATTGTTTGCAGTGATGGAGGCTAGTATCTCACACACAAATGAAAATAAAACCACTTTAACGTTCTGCTGTTGAAATAGCAAAGCCATTATGTAATGTTTCAAAACATAATGTTACAATGAAAGTATATTCTGTTAGATAAATACAAAAATAAAGCTCTTGATATTAATTTAGCTGCTGATATTCAGCATAAAGTCAAGTCTGGACGAATAATTGTTTTTTGACACAGTGTGGGTTTGCTCCTTCAGCCTACTTGGTTATTGAACTTCACCTCCCACAATTTCTAGCCCGGCCGGAAGTTCTTCAATAATCTCCCTCCGGTCCCCTGGTCCGTTCATTATCGTGTTCCTGTCAGTGGAGCCCGGAACTGCTTTTATTTCGGACTCCTTTGGTGTTTGTGCAGACAGGCAGCAACGCAGCAACCCGGGTGAGTTTAAACCAAACACGAAAACTAGTGTTTGATTTAAGGACTTATCAAAAATATGGAAGCTAGCTAGCGTTAGCATTTGCGACAGCAGCTACTTCTGAGTTACACATGAGAAGCCTGGCTATGCAGTTTATGCTGTGCTCATTGCTTTTGTTATATTTCAGCTAGGGCATTAACATCTTAACTCTGTTATATTGTGTTCTCCTGTGAAAGGTGGAATAAGACCTTATCACCACTTTCGTTAAACCAGGTATGCATTCCTAAATGTACTTAATTGTGCATTAAACTTGACATTTCAAACAACTCATATTTCTCCTGAGCCTGTATGAAGTTTAAGTTATGTAGGGTGCAAATCTCAGGAGTATGTAAAGATGCAAGGGCATACACAGAACAGAAGACAATGTAAAGTAGACACAGGAAAGATATTCACAGTATGCATACTGTTTTTCACTGTGTCCCATTTTACTTTACTTGCTCGTTAAATGACTTCTTTATAAATCAGCATGAATGATTTGAGGATGTGATGGGAATTCAAATGCTTACTTTTCTGACTAATGAGTGGCTTATGACTCATGAGTATCCTTTGTATGCAATTACAGAATATGCTTATCTTGCCATTATTATAGTAGCCTATGGTAAAGGGGACTAAATACAAATCCATTATATTTTAACTTGTTCACTCTTCTGGTTTTAAAATAAATGATCCTCCTGATAGCCTACCCAAAACGTGTGTGTGTGTGTGTGTGTGTGTGTGTGTGTGTGTGTGTGTGTGTGTGTGTGTGTGTGTGTGTGTGTGTGTGTGTGTGTGTGTGTGTGTGTGTGTGTGTGAGCGCGAGCGCGAGGCGCGAGTAGTACTTATCAATGTTGCCATGCTGGTTGTTTGAGTTGTGCTATGCAGACAGGACAGGTGGTAAGGATTTAATTGAATGCCTCAGATGATCAAACATTCACAATGCTTTTGGCAAAGGGTCTTCAGAGCTTACAGTACTACACTGTTATTTATTATCATTGATGGCGCACAGATATATCGTCTGAACATGTTTGTTTTCAACAGACTTTGGTTGGGTGACATCGTTGTAGAAGAGCATTGGATTGAAATGTTTTTAATATTGCAATTAACAATATTCAAACTCTTCCTAACTGCATTTATTAATCTTGTGTCTACAGGTAGCAGGCTGAGTTTCAGTCATGGAGCGCATCATGGGAGGAGGTGTGTTCCAGATGGTTTTAGCTAGTGCCGGACTCTTGCTGCTCTATCGGATCCTCGTGCGCCTCAGACCTGGCACTGCTCTGCAGGACGCTGTGGTGGTCATCACCGGGGGCAGCTCTGGACTGGGGAAAGGTCGGCCTCCTGCTCATTTTCTTTCTTCACTTTAGGTCACACGTACATTGCTAGTATTTGATGTGCAGCAGTTGGTGACTGTTAAGTGATGTGTTTCAGTGATGTGGTGCATGTGCTTCAATTCCCTGATTTGATTTTCGCCATAATAAACAAGTGTGTTTTTTGTGTTATAGAGTGTGCCCGGGTGTTTCACGCAGCAGGTGCCCGTCTGGTGCTGTGCGGACGAGATGCAGGCCGCCTGCAGCAGGTGATCCAGGAGCTCACCGACAGTTCAACAGGTTCAGAGCGTCAGGTGAGCACACAAACACAGACACGTAGTCAGACATAACCAAAGATCTAATGGTATCGGGTTCTCAGGCCATCAAAGCCACTGATGGTCTATTTATCTCACCAGAGTTCCCTGCCTGATGTCTCCAATACCAATATATCACACAATAACTTATTTTTTTTACCATTGTCTCTCAGACATTTTAAATGCCCCTATTATGCACATTTTCAGGTTCATATTTGTATTTCTGCATTTGCAGACCATTTACATGCACAAAAACCTATGTAACACTCTTCCCCGGAAAGGAGAAAACCCACAAAAAGCATATTAAGGGCTCTAAATGTATCAGTTGGATTAGATTTGGTTTAATGTCAATTCAAAACTCAACAATATACATAACGTAAGTCTTGACATGTTTTGAATCCTGGTGCAGATAAAGCTAACTGTTCTGTTTGTTCCACCACCAGACCTACACCCCCTGCAGTGTGACCTTTGACCTGGCTGACACGGACACAGTGGACAGAGCTGCAGAGGAGATCCTGAAATGTTACGGACACGTGGACGTCCTCATCAATAATGCTGGAATCAGTTACCGCGGCAACATACTGGATACTAATCTCTCTGTTCAGCGGGATGTGATGGAAACAAACTACTTTGGGCCCATCGCTCTAACTCAAGGTCAGTGAGGAGCACTTTTGGAAGCCAGTAAGAGTTTGATGTTGTTTATGGGGTTAGAGAAAACATAATGGAGCCAAACCATTGAGAAGTTATTTAAAGGACCTTAAACCAGAAGAAGGAGAGAAATGGCACATATCAAAGCTAAAGCAGATTTCTGAGGGGAGGAAGCGCTCTTATCCTAATTTTCTCAGCTTCTCGCCTTCTTCTTTCCTCCCTCCACAGCGCTCCTGCCCTCCATGGTTCAGAGGCGCAGCGGCCACATCGTCGTCATCAGCAGCGTCCAGGGCAAGATGGCCATTCCTTACAGATCCGCATGTAAGTTTTCTTTACTCGTTTTATGTAAATCAAAGGAAAACCCGAATGATGTTTCCATCTGGTTGACTGTAAATGACGCAGGACTCTGGTTTGTGGTCAGACGCGGCCTCTAAGCACGCCACCCAGGCTTACTTCGACTGCCTACGGGCCGAGATCGAGCGCTACGGGATCCCAGTGACGGTGATCAGTCCCGGGTACATCCGGACCAGCCTGTCCCTCAACGCCGTCACAGGAGACGGATCCAAGTATGGAGGTGAGTCAGTGAAGCGCTAAAGAAATGATCAATCAGTGGGAGAAATATGCAGACACTCTCATTGTGTTAATATTATAATGTTAGTTATAATATGTAACATTTCCAAATTGAAAATTCTACGTAAAACAATTGTCAGACTCAGAGATATCAGTGATTTTTATTCAAGAAAACTCCCTGTTTCGTTTGGAGGCCTGTAAAGGCGTCGCTCTCCCGTTGCACCATTTTTGTTGTTGTTATTTTATCTAAACTATCATAAATCGCCTTTTGTCCAGTTTTAAGCCAAATTCTTCTTTTTATAGAACTTCCATGTTTTCAACTATATATTTTAACCATATAAAGGATTTTCAGATTTCTGGATCTTAAGTTATCCGAGAGAAAAGCTGAGCAGATGTTCGCAGCAGTCAAACTGTTTTTTAAAATGGCTTTATTTAGTGTTTTTACTGGTTTTACTCACCCTGTCTAAGTTGTTTTTGGAAGGAGGATGCCACTACTTCAAAACATGGCTACCTTTTTACGATAAAGGTGTAGGAATCCTATCCGTGAGAAGCTGTGACCGAATCCTATAACTCTACTTCAACAAACTCCATATTAAGACATTAATAAATACAAAAAATTGCAAACGAATGTTTAATAGAAGATAAAAACAAGTTAAAATGGAAGTCCCACCAAATTAAATGAACTATTTTCTTTACTAGTTGTCCTCCTGACTCTCCTGTGTCATTGACATGCTTCTTGTTTGTGAAACACAGTTTTGGATAAAACCACAGCGTCGGGTCGGGACCCCCTGGATGTGGCCCGGGCGGTTCTGAGAGCGGTCCGTCAGAGGAGCAAAGACGTTGTTCTGGCCGGTCCTCTGCCAAGTCTGGCCCTCTACCTCCGCACTCTGTGGCCCGCACTCTTCTTCAAACTCATGTCCTCTCGCGCTCGCAAGGAACAGAAACCTAAAGACGAGTGATGGAGGAGAGGAAGTGGAGCGCTCACCACCTAAAGGGAGTGATGGAGGAGAGGAAGTGGAGCGCTCACCACCTAAAGGGAGTGATGGAGGAGAGGAAGTGGAGCGCTCACCACACGTGTTGGAGGCACATGGACAAAAACATGAATGACTGCTTTACATGAAGGTGTGAATACATGCAGCTCTCTGTGACACAAACAAAACAGAAGAAGCTTGTATGTTGAATCGGCAACTATGGGAGTGTTTTTGTATTGTTTGGACTTCCATATATTGTAACAACTAAACTCCGACTTAATGAAGTCGCTAAGAGGCTAGGCTTGTTGCTGTGACAGTGCGTGCTGAGTTAATGTTTTATTAAAGAAAGTTTAACAAACGATAGCAACAGAAAACCCCAGCATACAGCGGGTGAACTAAATACCATTAAACCACACCCAGGGGACAATTTCAGGAAGTGATAACCAATTACAAATATGTGCTCTGTCAACAATCAATGACAATAAAAGCTGCTAAATCACTTTCTGGTCTCTACATTTGTGATTGATAAAGTAAGCAGGGTTTGTCATTCAGCTCTTTCAGACATGAAGACACCAACTCACAGTTTAAACACTCAGGGCCGGCCCTTGGCATAGGCAGTATAGGCTAATGCTAAGGGCGCATCAATCAATGGGGGGCGCCGAAAAAGAAAAACTAATAAAAAAGTTAGAAATAAAAAAAAAATAAAATGTTTTATTATTTCATAACAACACAATTTCCCGATTTTGGATCAACAAAGTACATCTTATTATCTTATACTAACAGCACTACGCCTATATTGCGTACAGCGTCCATAAACTATGGCGCACCCCCCCACCCCAAAAAAAAAATTAGAACCGCCCCAGCCCCACGTGAAAACCAGAGGTTTATGTGAAATAGTGCTTTTTTTTTTAAATAATGGTTTTAGTGTGCAATTATAGGTATTAATTTTGTATTTGTGTTAATTTAAAATAAATCAAACTCCCAAAAAAGGTATAGAGCTTTTATTAACATTGGAATTTACTGTGTAAGCGGCCGCGGGGGGGAGAGCTTTAGAGAGCTCTGTCCTGAAAGACTTCAAGATTTTCATCTATTCTCTTATAGTATAAAATACTGACAGTAAAAAAAAGTTGTTATTAATAAACAAGAATAAAAAATAAAAGAGGATTGATTTGTAAAATATCCATAAATAAAAAGAAAATCTGCTTACAGTTCTGTTTCATATGGGTGTTGAGAGATGTATCCATAGATCTCTTAATGTTGCACCAGATTAATGCTTTGAACTTCAATATAAAAAAAAAAGATCTTCCCGGGGGAGCATGCCCCCGGACCCCCCAAGAGGAGGTTAGGTCCACCCCCCACTTAAATCATGTTCAAATGGGATAGGATACTAAATACATTTGCACACATCTTGTGTCCATATCTTTCTGTTTTGGTGGTCATCCCACAACAGTGCATGCATGCGCGATTCATAGTGAGTGTCTGCATTTTGGGGGGGGGGCGCCAGCCGGCCCTGGATAACACTCATACTGTCACGACTCAAAGCTTTGCTGGAATGACAGTTTTTTAAGCTGTTCTTCCAAAATGCTTTAATTTCGGAGGACCAAAACAGTTTCATGTGTAATTCTGTCAGGTATGGGGAAAAAATACTGTCAGTGTCCGAGAATGACTACTTTTTCAATTGTTTCTGTGTCCAAGTCAACATCAGCATTACAAGCCACCTTTAAACTAAATAAAGAGAACAAATGAGAATTATGTTGCAAACATTTCTTTCAACTGCTCGTTTCCATCTCATCAGCAGAAACCAGTTTAGGAGAGAACCTAATCTACTAAAATACTGGATTTGATCAAAGTGTTTGAGCTGTTTTGGCAGATGATCTACTCACAGCAGCTGCATAGATATCAGAAAGCACACCTTGTTTCTGGGTCAGCTTTACCACCACTGTAAATGATTCTCTAAACAAAGTTGTTTTAATACCTGCAGGGGAAGGAAGTACTGCTTATCGCTGACCGGAGGAAAGAAATAGCTTTTCTTATGGTCAGTTTGACTTCCTGTTATGGTCAACGTGTTTTTTCAGCTATGTTGTAATACTTTATTTGAGTCACGTGAGTAGCAGCACATCCTCTGTGTTTCTGTGCAGTGTATTTGTGTTAACATAATTAAAGGAGCTCAATTATTCTCATTTTCAGGTTTCATAACTCTATTTCTTTGCCTGTACTGAGACGTAGGCTTCCAATTCTTTAAAAAATGTGTAGTAAAATAAGTTTCAATGCAAGGTACACACAATGAAAACAGGTTTTTATAACTCTTTATAAGCAGAATAAAAACACTTTTTTACAAACTGAAAACGTTAAAACAGGTTTTTCCTTTTTTAGAGGTCTTCTTAATATTAAGTTAAACAAAAAATATTCTGAAATGCTTATAATAAATAATCCAAATGACAATTTACGTTATGTTACAAAAGCGCAGTGAATACTGGAATCGACATTTGTACAAATAAATCCTTCGACCACAAAAAACAAACCTGCTGTTTATTCCTTATTAAGAATCATCTTCGTTATATCTAGTGTGAGAAGATGAAGCCTTTTTTCACAAGGGAATAAACAGCACAAGGGCTTTTTCATCGTAGAGTCAAAGCCCTGAAGGTGCATGGAGGAGACAAACATTTCAGATGTGGAATGACAACAAGAGCTCTCCTACAATTCACCCTCGTGTTGATGAGACAAAATGTGGACAATACTGCATAAAGAGGATGCTGGTTAATCGAAATGTGCAACAAGTCTGGATGCAAGAAGTCTGAAATTGTGTGTTTTATGTCATGGTGAGACGTTAGCCATAGTGTTTTTTTGTTAGCATCAGTATTAGCACTTAATGGGGAATTGTCGTCTCAGCACAACCAATCAGAAGACTTTACTTTTGATTAAAGAATGACAACACAACGTTGTGTCAACTATGGCTTTAGTGTTTGATTTCTATAAGTTACTTCTGACTGGAAGAGTTGAAAATGAAAGCGTGCTAAGTCACATTATGGGTGAAACATCTCGAACCCGCTTCTTCCACGTTTTAAGCCACAACAAACCAACCTGAAGCCCTTAGCAGTCCGTTTTATCATCTCAAGAAATATGAAATGGAATGGCTGCTGGAGAGGATTCTCCAAAAGAAAAAGCTGCCTTTTTTTTTTCAACGGGACATTTGATCGTAAGAAACCTGATTCCAAACGCGCGCATGGCAGGATGTGTTCCTTAAATGCAACAAATACAACCTGAGCATGTGAAACAGGGCCGTATCAAATGATTTTACTTTCCTGCGCCTGCTGTTATGCTCTACCTTTGCAACCCGATTACCAAATAAAAAGAAACAAGTATTTACTGTTTTCAACTTTTTTTCTCAATGCCATTAATGTAAAAACCCCCCCTCCAGCAGCTGGGGGTCTGATCTGCACACTGTATTTTCGGGGGGGGGGGGGGGGGGGGGCTCATTTGAGAGCGTAGAAGTCACACAGAGAGCAGGAAGAGACGTCACATAAAAGATCAATATGGCATAGTATTTTCCTGTACATGAGGTTGTGTTTTGTAAACGCGTTTGTTTTTTTAACTAAAGTGTTTCTTATTAAAGGGCATCTCAACTTAAAGAACAGTTCAGTGGAGCCAACAAGTTTCAAACTCGCTGTCGAACAACGCTGAAGGCTCACTGTTATTATTGCACTTTCACAAACAGGGCAGGGAGGAAGCTTTGGGAGAGGGGGGGGGGTCTTTCTTTCTCCACAGCCATCTTTTCTCAGTCTTAACGTCGCGGACTCATGTCCTCCAGGCGGCAGAGGGTCGTTGGAGCCTGGTCTCCTCAGGGGGGGGGGGCTCCGTCACAGCTAGCTCCTGAGCCAGGTCGTTGAAGCGGGCGATGTAGTCCACGCTGCTCTCACTCATCATACAGGCCAGCTGAGAGTCCATCTGTGGGAAACCAGAGAGTTCAATGTAGTGCAGTCTGAACCACCGCTCATTAGCATTTAAAGCTACAGACACAGAATCAGCACTTTTGAAACAGGGCTGAAACAGAGGGGTTTATGGGATGCTACAATGATCTGTTTGGTATTCCAGCCAAACACTTCAGAGACATGTTTTTTGTATATATCTGAGGCCTATAATAAATGTGACCCGCTCTATCGAAACCAGTCGGAAGTCGCAACGGCTCCTTTCAAAATAAACGTGGATTTGCGTAAATAGTTTTTCGGGCTTCGGGTGTTTTGTTTGATTTTAAATAAACAAAGTCTTGGCTTTCAGAATGTGAAACTTTTATTTCCAAAATCAGACGGAAGATGACAGCTCTCCCTCGCCACTCCGCTGTTCCGCAGCGCTGCTCCCCCTCCCTCCGTTGAAATTATGAATGTAAGGCGTATAGTAATCACAGATAACACGGCAGGGTCCGTGACAGTTTGTTTTCATCTGATTTCAAATAAACAAAGTCTTGGCTTTCAGAATATTAAAGTTGTTTCGGCAAATTCAGATGATAAATACAGCTTTTAACGGCATAATTACAAGCGGAGAACGGACCTACACACAACAACAACAACGTCAAGCCTTTGCGCTCTGAAACTACGGGGCGGCCGTATGCGTTAATCGCACGTTAACATAATTAGAGGCGTTAACTTGACTGCCCTAATTATGATTATTGATGCATTACTGTGTACATCACAACAGTGTTGCACTTTGTAAAGGTGGGGTTTAATGTAATACTTTTCATTCTGCTGGCTAGCCTAACCTGAATCTGCTAAGATACTCCAGCTGGAAAATAGATCTAGTGGAGTGTTTACAGAATGAAGAAGGTAAAAGTACAGTAGAGGTCCTTATTCCACTACGGTGTAAAGATAAAGTATAGCAATGTCTATCTGTGCAGAGAGAGAAGTTACTCTTCTCTTTTGGGTCGTAACCCGAGCTTCTCTGCTTTGTGCATGTTATTGAAAGCAGACAAATGTTTAACTTTATCCTACCACTATGGAGTAGATGTTACTTGCTCAGAACACTGACACCACCGGCGTTTAGACCTTTTTGTTCCTTTTAATGAGAATGGGCTCAACTCACTTCTGCCACGTCTGGAAGGCCACGGGACTGAAAGGAATCGTGGGAGTTGCAGTCCAGGAGGCTGGGTCCGAGCAGAGCCGTGCCGCTGGAGGGGCCGGAGGGGGTGAGGGTGGTCCGCTTGCCCTTATCAGGAGAGACCATGCTGGCTGCGAGGAGGAGAGACAGAGAGAAGGACCGGGACACGGGAAACAAAGTCAGCTTTATGGGATGTCGCTGCAAGAGGAAGTCTATCACTAGGGCGCTGTGATTGTGCATTAATAAGAGAATGAAAGTGGGAAGGCACAAAGTGGTCTTTGTTAAGGGTACTGTGGAACGTGTTATGTGTCTGATATTAAAGTTAGTATCTATTGTTTAACAGCCACACAGTTAGAACATGTGTTTTCAGTCTTGACATTTTTTTATACCAGACAAAATGAATCTCAAATAAACCCCTTTTTCTCTACGGGTTAGTAAACAGGCGATGTTCAGGGGGAGATAATAGGCCACATAGAAGTGGTGTTCATCATCTACATGCTGGTACACTCAAGACTATAATAATGGAAATTTCCATGCTCCATTATATCTCATACGTTGTGTTCCTTTGCTAAAAAGGATTGAGTTTCTTACCACATTAAAACGTCAAGATTACAAAGCTTTTCCCCCAAAATTCATATACTTTAAGAGGTTATTAATACGCTTATTATAGAGCGGTTTAGTCAAATTTATATTGACACAAAGGCAGTTGCAGTCTGTAGGGTTCTTAATGTTCAGCTTTTCGGTCCAAGGCTTAAAGTTTGATCTGTAGTGTCATCGCTTTGGACAGGAAACAAAGAAGATCGGTAAAGCATAGGCTAATGTTTGTCTTCGTTTGAGAGAGAGAGAGAGAGAGACTCACAGAGGAGGCATCCCAGCGTGGAGTCAGACGAGTCGCTGGGGTACCACTGGGGGTCGTGGCTGGGCGATGGGATCCAGCCTCTGGACGGGCTGACGGAGGGGGACGACGACAACAGTTTGGAGCCGTCGTTGTTGCTCAGCTTAGCGGGAGAGAGGCCGGCCTCCTCGCCTGCAGCAGAACAGGAAAAACAGCCATTAGATTACGCACAATGTCAAACAAACCAAGCGTCTCGGGAAAAAACAAACAATTCTCACTTCTGTACGAATGACTTTGAATGGTTTGGCTCATTACAAACGTGTGTACTTGCAGGAGTATTGCTTGTTTTGAGTTTGTACGGTTAAATGCACTTATCATAAGTGGCTTTGGATAACCGCGTGAGCTAAATCAAATGTAATGTGGGAACACACCTGCACCGTAGTGGGCCGAGTTGATGGCGAGCTCGATGAGGGAGTCGCTGATGTGTGTGTGAGATTCTCCAGGAGTCTCTTCAGGGGGGCCGGGGAGAGAGATGTCCAGCAGCGAGGCCACGCTGGGGGGAGCGAGGAGAGAGTCCGCACCCCCGCTCGCTCTGGGGGAAGGTGAGAGGTGACCATTCTGTGAAAAGAAAAGACAGTTTATTCGATATTCTAAGGTTTTATTTCCTGAAAAGATTTGTTTTTCAGCTGCCTGTTTTCATGTGCTTGTGTTTTTCTACCCAGCTGGCCAGGCCTGGATGCAATAACATGACTCTTCCCTGTTGTTTCTTTCACTTATACTGATTTCTAGCACCTATCATTGTAAATAAGGTCTGCACAAGTCCCTGCACTGAAGTAGTATTAGTAGTACCCAAATCTCTAAAAACGGGGCTACAACGGAGCTGATTCAGATTTGAGTCTGATATGACGTAATATCGGAAATGTAGGCTGGCTTTACGCCCACGGGCCAATCAGACTGTTTTGGACGTAATATGGTCGCTGCATGTTTACGTTAGCATTGCTAACACTCAGAGCTAACCTGTAGAGCATGTGTGTGAAGAAGCAGGAAATAAAAAGGAACTCACCTTGTGGTATAACCGGCAAGAGAGAAAGCCTTTGAGCTCCATACTGTTTCAGAAATAATCCTTGATAATCCATGATATGGCGTTTCATCACCGCAGTATTTAGTTTAGACAGTAGCTGCCGGGTCCCGCATGAGCTCAGCACCCTCCTTTTTTTTTTTTAATCAATTTCTTTTTTTTTTATTAAAGCTTTATACCCCAAATCAGCACTTTTGAAACAGGAAGTGAAATGGAGGGATATGAGGCATGGCTAGAATGAGTGATCTGTTTGGTATTTTGAGCAAAACACTTCATAGACGTGTTTTTTATACATTTGTATATATCTGAGACCTATGCTATTGCCTAAAAATAGCATGATAGGTCCACTTTAAAATATCCCTCCCTAATAACTACTGAGATATGTGCAACAAAGCATAGATATGAAGGTGAGGAGGAGACATGAGACCAAAGAGGAAGGTATTTGAAGACACAAAGTGAAGGAAAGCTCCCAGGCTGTATCAGTGTGTGTGTTAGTGTGTGTTAGTGTGTGTTGCTGACCTCTGGGACATTGTGCTGGAGGAGTTGAGGTCCAGGTTCAGCATCAACAGAGGGTGTGGAGTTGAGCAGCGCGGTATGAGCAGTGAGAGAATCCGGCTCTCTGCAGGGACTGCCGGGGATGATACCTGCCGACTTGGCTGCCAGGTCAATGGCACCTGAAAGAGAATTAAGAGTTATACCAGGGATCTGTCACATCAGGAGATCCATGATCAACTCAAAACCCACCTGTTCAAACTGGCATTTTCTTTATAATCTGTACCCTGTGTCCTTTTGTGTCCTTTTGTAGTCAATTTCCTGTTGTTTGTCTTGTCTTACCCTGGCTGATACTTCACTAAATCCACTGTTTTAATTGTTCCCTGTATTGCCCCTATGCCCTGTAAGGTGTCCTTGGGTGTTATGAAAGGCGCCCCCCAAAATAAATGTATTATTATTATTATGAGTATTAACAGTGGCTGATCATGTAATGACGGTTGCAAAAAATTAAACCTAAGCAACAGCGCAGTATAAAAATGGAAAGCAGGAAAAGTGAACATCTTTCAAAGAGTATTTGTTCAAAACCATATTGTCTCTGTGGGATCATGAGGGAGTAAAGAATTGTTTATATACTTTGAAACTGAATCTCTATTTTGTATACAAATCCAGATAATTCAGGGATCAGTGTCTTACATTTAAATAACTGTAAATAGTTTTACAAAAGCTTGATTTGACAAAGAAAGAAAACCATTTCAAACGATCATTTTTGGTGGTGTATAACAAACGTAACTTTGATTATGAGATAGCGCTTTGTTTATCCAAACTTTAAAATCCTGACTGTCTTGTAATCTAGAGGGTTACTTTTATTTTTTAAGGTCAGATGTTTTAAATTCACTTTAAGAGGTTTTATTTTTGTTATCTTTTGTTTGTGTAGGCTTCCTGAGAAGTAAATGAACCATTTTGTCAAATAAAAGACAATTAAACAAAAACATATCTATGACTAATACTGTTTTCTTACTGGACGATGAAGGATAACAAGAGGAGGTAAACTAATGCTCAAATGTCAACAGTACAACATAACTGTAATGATGCACTGAAATATTGTACAAGTCTATCTAAACTGAAAGTATTATTTAGGAGCCAAATCATTAATGGTTAGGAACAGGACCTGTAAAATCCCATTTGTTGTTATTTCTTGTAATTGTAAAAGTAATTTCTTTCTGATTGTTTTGTGAAAAAACAAAAAGCAAAATAAACATGTCGCTAATGACGATGACCTAATATTTTATTTATAAGAAAAATATATGCTAGAGGGGGTAGGACCAGAAAAGTTTTTTTAAGCTTCTTCTTGCCCCTGTTGAACATGACGAGACTATTTGAGAATTATTATTGGTTTTTTTTATAATTTTTTTTTCTTACTTTGTTATAATTATTAATTTGAGTGAGAAAAAAGAGAACATATATATATATTATTGTTGTATGTTTTTGTTTCTGACATGTTCAATAAATTAACTAATACAAAAATAAACTCAAACTACATCACGCATTTAGTTTAAACACTAAAAAGAGAAAAACAGATATGTAAAATGAGAGCAGGACGCACTGGAGAGCTGGCTGGCGGCTGCTGAGCTGGACGCTGACGGGGAAGCTTTGGACTGGAGTGGGCGGGAGGAAGGAGCCAGGCGAGTGTGGATTGGCCGGAAAGATCCAGTTCCTGAGGGAAGAAACAGGAAGTGAGAGAACAAGAGATTAGCAGGGTTGTTTTTGAAAAAGAGAAATGACATTTAGTTAGTACAAAGAGAACACTAGCCAAGTGTATTATTAACATGTATACATAATTAAGCCTGTTTTAGGTCTTACTTTGAACAAACTGTTTACTTTTGCTGACAGGAAATTGTACTGTAGTGTCGTGATGTGTGAAGAGTACCTGTGGCAGAGGAGTTGGAGAGGATGGAGAAGGAGCAGACGTGCTGAGGAGTGTCTCCAGTAGTTCGGGGTAGGAGTGTTCGCTGTGGAAGAGAGAGAAGCAACTGAACTACATGCACAGTTTAACGCAGCACAGAGAAGCATTATAGGACATTTTACTGGTACAAACATTTCCTTACTCCGTAAATGAGCAGATTCCCAATCCAAACCCCACCACCGCCTACTCTTCATGGATATTTTGAGGTTATGTTCTCACACAAACATTTAAAACGTTTTGCCATGATCCCTTAGGCTTGATTTCAAAAGCCTGCAAAACTTTGGCTAGATTCACACTAATGCATTTTAGTTTTAAAAAAGGTATAAGGTTTGCTGTGTGTACAAACAGCGATTTTTTAAAACTTTTATGGCTTTTGAAACTTTATCTGATAGATGAAAATATATATATATATATACAAGAAGTGAGAGTGATATCACTTCCAACATAAGTACAAGGCTGGAATCAAACCTGGAATGTTGTGGTTTTTAGGCATATGCTATAACCACTGTGATAAAAACGAGTTGACCCAGTTTCATTGTTTTTTAAAACGTTATAAATACACCCGTTTCCCTCTTACCTGAACTACAAGTGGTTTCCGAAGTTGCCTGTTTCGAGGTTTTCTTTGTCTTGAAAGGAAAATATCTGACTGCATCTGTAAGAAAAACACGAAGAATTGTAACATCCGTGCATGAGACATGGACGATGTAGTCTTTGTGGTGTAAAGTAATGCTGACTTTCTCCTTACACTGATAGAGTCGAGCTGCTGTTTGAGGGCGAGCTCGGCCTCCTTGTTGGGGGAGAACATTCTGTTGTGCCGTGAGCTGTTGGGGGGCAGCGTGGTGGGAACTGCAAACACGCCGCTTTCTGCCTCGCTGCCTGCTGTCGACCCCAGCAGAGAGCGGGGGAGGTTGCGTCCACCTTGAGAAGAGGAAAAAGGTCAAATGTGTCATTTGAGGAGGTTAAATAATACAACCCAGTCTCACGGCATTTCGTGTTATAGTCACGAAATTAATTTAATCTATTGATTCGTGTTCACCAACACCATTTCCGCATTTTTTCATGTCACACAGAACGATTTGAAAAGCAATGTATTTCTATTGGTAGTATGTTTCGTGCCTGCACCACGTCTTTTTGTCCGGTCGGGTCTTGGAAGACCAGAAGCTGTGTGGTTCATAAAAACGTTTTCTTACTCAATATCTTCTATCCCTAAGTCTAACCCTATCCCTTTTATTTTCAATTGTATAATTTGGGTGGTATTTTTATTTTTATTTTTATTTTTATTTTTTAAATGGGGCTCAGAGCCTCAGAATACTGAAATCTGTATTTCTTTAAATCTTGTTTTCTTTCTAATCTGTTATTATTTGGTGCAGGCCTGAAACACACTACCAATAGAAATACATTGCTTCTAAAATCGTTCAGTGTCAGAATACTGACATCTGTATTTTTTTAAATATGTTTTTCCTTCTAATTTGTTATTATTTAAATTGATTTTAAAATCGTTCTGTGTGACAAGAAAAAAATTGGGAAATTGTGTTGGTGAACACGAATCAATAGATTAATTTCGTGACTATAACACGAAATGCCGTGAGACTGGGTTGAATAATAATAATGTATTAAGCCACTGAACAACATCCAGTGAGTAATATTATAAAATAAACATTAGAGCAACTCCATAATACTTCATAATAATTACTTCAACAACAGCACAAACACACATTTTCAGTTAAGTCTCCTCATCAGTTGTATCAGCACTTACATTGTTGAAGAAACAAAGCTGATAGGATAAATCTTTCACTATAGTCTATATAAAGCTGCTGTGTCTTTATGGGTAATCAGCTCCACTGAATGCACAGTGAGAGCCTGTAGCCGTAGCTTTAGCTATGTGAAGAGTACCTGAGACTCCAGCGTTTGGCAGGTGCAGCCGGGCCCCTCGGAGAGAGGGCGGCTGCCGGCCGAAGCTGGGGCTGCGTACCCCTGCTAGGGGACCCTTCCCTGGGGGTGTTTGGGCCTGGTTCTGCTCATCTTGATGGTTCTTCAGAGGAGATGTGGGGCAGAGATCTGGAGCCTGGAGGAGAAATGACATTATTGACACCGTCTGCTCAACATGTACATTTCAAATGTTATGTTATTTGTTCAGTAAAGTTTAAGGGTGGCACAGAGCATAGTTTACAATTATACAATGACACAATTCACACTGTGCAAATAAAGCATTGCAGAATATGTAACGTCTTACATTGAATTGAGTTGACCCTTTATCTATCTTGAAAGGACTTTTTGTGGTTGAATTTAATTGGCAATGCAAGTTTATGTATAAAAAAAATAGTACCGTAATTTTCGGACTATAAGCCGCGCCTTTTTCCCCATTTTTTTATACATAAACTTGCATTGCCAATTAAATTCAACCACAAAAAGTCCTNGGGGCAGGGGCAGAGACAGGAGCAGGCTCTTCCTTCACTGGCTCCGGAGCGGGGGGGGCCGCTGCCTCCTTCACCTCAGGTGGGCTGACCTTGGCTTCTGGGACTAGCAGAGGGAAAAGAACGTGTCAGAGAAATGCCAGAACAGAATAATTTCCTGAGAGTATAAGCGGCTATTTCCTCCTGGAATACATAACAGGAAGCACATCTTTCCAGAGTCTCGCTGGAATCACTTGGTATTGATTCTAACGTATAACCAGTGGGTGCTAACTTTAGAATAAACATTGCATTAACCAAAGAATAAGACAAGGCTATGTGATGTAGTTTCTCTGATATGCATAAGAAGATCATTTCAGCAAGGGTGCCTTCAAACCTACAATGAGTAGGATGACTCCATGTAAGAAAATAATAATACAAAAATAAAAACATGGACACATTTTCTTTATGCAACTCACCTGGAGATGATTCAGGTTCAGGTACCACACTTAGATTGTCCTGAAAAATAAAATCAAGATCAAATGTTTTTCTTTCAATTCAATAAATTGAGTAAAGCTAAAGCTGGGCCTCAAATTCTATATAGCTGTGCTACTTCCATGAGTCCTCCCTAAGGCTCCTTTACAAGATAACCCATGCACATTAAGGTAGACTCTTTTCCAGGGCATGATAAAACACCTCAGAATGTGTTTCCAGAGATTAACAGCTGTATGGAAACAGCATCAACACATCAACAGGAAACAGGTAAATTAGGTGACAGCTAGAAAAAGCTGCTTGGAATTTATTTTTGTCAATGCTGAGATTGTTGCCGTAGACTCTGCAGTCTAAGCTCACAAAACACTGGCTGCACAGACACTATGGGCCAGTGGAGAAGATTTGTACACTTATGTGTGTGACACCAACAAAGAATACATTTGTAGTTGCGGTGAAATATCTGGTAAACTAGTCAGCAACTTAAAAAGGAATACAGTAGAAAAAACAAGTATTAGTGGCATTTCAAATGAAGGAGCAGGGCCTACCTTTGGTTTGTTAGGGTGGCCTCGGTTCTGGCCAGATGTACTCTCTGCAGCACCGAATATGTTGCTGCTCTGTCCACCAGGAGGATGCTTCTGTTGCCGAGCCGGAGGGTCAGGGTCACCAAATATTCCGCTGCTCTTCCCACCTACATTAAATGTGACCAAGATAAGCGTCAAGTTCTGCAGCAGCGACAGCATGACACACTCCACACTGCATTTGGTGTAGTGTGTGGCAGAATGTACTCTATGATAAACAGCACAGGACTTATACATATTTTTGCCATCTGAATTTAGCTTTTTCTAAACCTCTCACCTTCAGTATCAATCAATGTATGCATGAGAACAAATTATAGTGTCTTATAATGTACAGTGGCAGTAATTCAATGACCATTTAAGGGATGCTTATGCCAGCCACACTTAAAATAAGCAGATAAGGCAGTCACTGTGACTCAGCAGTCCCTGTCTGGAAACCATTTCTAACAGGAGACTGGACTGAAAACATACTTTCGTTTACCAGATACTCCAGAAAATCTGGAGGTGGATTACTTCCAGGCACAGAGAACAGTGAGAGTGTTTATACGGGAATTATCACATCATAGTAACAGCTTTCACACCCTGGACACATTGATGGATGTTATGACTGGCCCTCCTCTGCAGATATATTAGCTCCAACAGGCTGGTCTTACCTGGAGGATAGGAGCGTCTAGATACACTCTGGGGCTCCTCTGGGGGGGCAAACACTTTAGAGACCGTCTTATTAGGTCTCCTCTGAGATGGGGTGTCTTCTTCATAGCCACCGAAGAGGTTACTGGAGCCGCCACCAGGAGGCTGCAACACCCTGCAGGATATTACAGATTATAAATGTCACTTATAACGATCCTATCCCTTCTTTGTACATCACAGATTCATTTATATCAATTACCCTGCAAAAGCATGACCTGGCAAAAGACAAATAGAAGAGATGGAATACTTCTGACTGAGTACGTTAATCTTACTAAATAATAACGGATATTTGTCAGATGATGTTGCACTTTCCAACATTTAATAGAGGTTCATGTTTAACGATTAGTGTTGAAAAAATGTGGGCATTTTTGCAATCTGACACACAAAGAGGACCAGTAGAAAACAGTAAGTAACTCGGCTATACTATGTTACAGTACATAGGACAGCTTGGGCCCACGCAGTCAAATGACAGGTTATCTGATTATATACCGGGAGTGGCGCCATACGTCTGAAACTCTAGTGTGTAGGAATTGATGCTCTACTTTCCCCGTTATTAAAAGCCAAAACATTAGTGAACTGGACTGTTGAGTTGAGGCGAAACAAGAACTGACGCATTCAAGTAAGTAAGAGGAAACGGAGTCTCCTCTGGAACAATGTGGCCACACAACGCCGTTGTTGGAGAGTACAAAGAAGATCAGTCTGAAGAGGCTTTACACTTCCGCAGGCGCAGCAGGCAGACAACGCCTGGCCGGTTAGCTTAGAAGCTAACGCTTGACTCTGTGCTCACGCAAGCTAACTCAAACCAAGCCAACTCTTAATGAGCACCAAAACACATGTTTGTCTTACATAAATAGCACATGCCTGACGTCAAGAACAATTGAATAAGCCGAAAATGTGATTTTCCCTGACCCACACCGTTAACCTACATTCAGATGTTAGCTGACCTAGCCTAAGCTCCAAATAAAACATTGGCGGCCAGTTACACGACTATTATATTCACCTTGAACTGTTTTTTGCAGACAACCCTTGAAACATGTTGGTCGAAGTCATAGTGGTTTTGTTTTGAGCCTTCTAGTTTGCAAATACTTCTTCGTCAGTTTGCCAACTGGACGACTTCTCCCTGTCTGCGCGTCGCGTCCCCAACTAAATTCCGGAGTGAAGCATTTCAGTCGGCCCAGCTGTGACGTAGAGGAATATGATTGGTCAGCTGCCAATCTGCTGAGTGCTGTGGTGCGCTCGTTTCATGTCCCCTGGTACCCCGCCAGCAAAGGTGGACTTTTGAGTAGTGTTTTGAAACTAAAATGTTCTTGGCAACCACATTACTGAAGCGGTTGTATTGTGATTAGTGATATTTCATTCATAGTAAAAAATGCACGGCAAATTCCGACCTGCTTGTCGGTAACAGAGCGATTAAATAGGCAAAACCGTGTAAAAACTCCATATCGCACGCTTGTTTTGTGACATTAGGGCGCCTGATCTGAACAATGGCAGCGTGGGATGATTCTGACTAATTTGACAAAATGAAAGTGCATATATCATTGAATTAATGTGTTTTGCGTGACGTAAGATGGTGCTCTGTAGTTATAACCATGTTAAAACGGCTTTGCCGGGTGACTTTCGGTGTACGCCAGGGTTAATTGCAAGTGCATCATCTGAGTTTCGCCTATGGATTTGATCCTCAAAATGTCAATCACTTTCTGGGTGGAACATCTTTTCACTGTGCTGAATATTTACTCTGCAGGGATCTAATCTCGTTTAAATTACGCTTTGCTTTTGAAAAGGGATTCGATCATTAAATTGTCAAAATGCCTTTAGATTTAAAAACACATTTTTGAGACATGACAGGAAGAGAGTGACGATTGGTCCATTGCGGAGTTTCTCTCAGTCGCAATTGGCTGAGCAGTCTGTCAATCAAATCCTAACCGTCGTCCTCGTGTATCTCTGACCAATCACAGCATTTGTTTTTGAGTTGTAGTGGGCGTGTCTAAACGCGTGTGCAGTAGAACCGCAGGAACTGTCATCGGCAACAAGCTGGACGGCTGCCGTTAGCAAGCAATGCTAGCCTTTTTCTTCACTAATAACACCATCGACAGGCTTCAACTTCAGGTAATTCCTTAACCTTTATAAGTGTTATCTTTTTAACAAACTGTTCGAGCTCCTACATATAGTAAGCATTATGTTACAATCATGTTTTGCAGCGTTAGGGCTTGTTGGGCTGCCACAGCGTTAGCGTTAGCTATCCAACAACAGCAGCCATGCTAGGTACCACGTTATGAATGAAGGAAACTCTTTTATGCATGTTATATAGCTTATAACGCCGATGTAAACGGAAACTGTTTGTATAGAAACGTGTCATTTGTTAACTTTTTTTCACCGTGCACTTAGCGTGTAGTTGTCGACCTTTTAGTATAACAACAGAGCAGAGGACTGTAAACACCAGGCTGATGAATCTAACTTTGAAGATGCAATATGTAATGAAACTGTTAAATAAGTACAATGCCTTAAGATTTGGGATCAACCTGAACCTATGTTGAAACCATACTTTGAGATGAAGTATAAACTAAAACCGTTGCATTCAATTGTAGTTGTGAGATTCCAATGAGCTCAAGTAAAAACGAACTTAGTAGTTTAGGACCCTCTCTGCTGTCAGATCTGTTATATCTTGTGGGTGATAGAAATTAAGATGTTGCTTTTAGGTGACACAAAACAGGAATTTAAAAAGCTGTGTAGGAATGTAGGAAAGGGGATGCCCCCAGTCATTTTCATACAGAAACTTCTCATATCATCAATTCATATTTCTTTCTGCAGCTTTCTCTTGCTGCAATCCTCTGCCTTCACATACTCCCGACTATTCAGAAATGTATAGATTGATGGTCTCCATTAGAGCAAACCCAATATTACAAATCCTGTCATGTTCACACATTATAACAAAATAAGACAATGTAAGACACTAGGTATTGATGTGCAACTGCCACAACAAGCCTGTCCTGCCTCGACATAGGAAAAAGTACATGCATAAGGCGTTACTAACCTTAGCAAATATAGGGTTGACACAAAGCCTTACATTTTCAATATGTATATACAAATAAATAGTTTTGCAGTGATGATTTCAGGCGATGGTGACGTAGTGTCAAGCAAAGTCCACTTGCGCACAGGTTAATACAGCTATCTATGCGTACCAATCTCTTCTATAACATGCTACACTACATTCTTCTTCAATGTACGGTTTAAATGCATGCTTTTTGACAGTGGTTTTCTAATTTGACTTCTTGTTGCAAAGAAAATTGAGAAATGTTTTTACTGATGGAAAACAGTTGAACTGCGCAGAGAGTTCAGTTCAGTCGAAGCAGGAGCAAGAAGAGGGCAGAAAGCGTAGAGATCGCTCTCGGTTTTATTATGCTAAATTTGATCAGCATTTCCCAATCTAACCGGTCGGACTCATGGTGAAGAGAAAGAAGACGTCGCCTACTAGCGAAGAGCACGAAAATGGGTAAAATTCTGTCTAAAATAAACACTTTATTTAGAGGTCGAATGCACGGAGGGGTTTCGTTGTCGTTTCTGCAGGGCGCTAAACTGAAAAGCGCTCGCATTTGAATTTAGTTGAAATTCAACCTGAAATATTGTCCATTTGAGCCGAGAGACACTCGGTAAAACACCACAGGCAGTTACTAAACTGCTTTAATTGTTGAATATAATTTATAAGAAGACGTTTAATGCATATATTTGGTGTTGTTTTGTCGGGACTGGAGAGGGGATTTGAAACAAACAGCGGCGGCCATGTTGAGAGACAGTAAACGTCGTCTTTAGAAGTTAATTTTGCACACTGCTTTGCTCTTAATGTAACCATTTTTCACTGATTGTGTTCTGGCAGCATGACACTGGGCTCCAGGGAGGGGATCGGTGTCGATGGGGGGAGGAATCCGTCCAGAAAGCCCGAAGGTTGCGACGAGGAGGAGAGCGGAGAGCAGGCGAGCGAGGAGCGCAGTACAAAGGGAGACGACGGAGAGGAGATCCTTAATCCATCAGCCCCGGCTCTCAGCCCCGGTCCAGCTCCGGTGCTGCCCGCCTCTCCACCGAACCGAGCCGGGCTTGGCTGTACCCAGCAGTCCCAGACCTCAGCGGATCCCACCCCTCCTTGTCACGACCAGCATCATTTTCTCCGATCAAGCGTCCGACCTCCGAGCAAACGCATCCGGAAAGATTCAATCGGCTCCACCATCAATGGACACGGCGGGGCAAAATCCAAAGGTACTTAATTTGTCCAGCTCAGAGGGAAAAGTGTTTAAAGGTGGGATTAGCAGCGGGGGTCTGCCCTTTGCTGTCACTGTTTGTTTATTATTATCAGTGATGGCTAAAGTGATGTTTTTGTTGCTGGGTGTAAACTCCCTCAGCCACAGCCTGGGTTGAAATCTGGGTAGATTTTTTTTAGGCTGCTTCGACCCGAGTTGCAATTCCATCCTGTGAAACACTTCTGTGAAAATGAGGAACATGAAAGGTCACAACTTAAGTTTTGATTAAGATCTGACTACTCTCAGTTACAATTCTTTTAGAAACTTGACATTATGGCTTTAGAAACCAGGGCTTTTATGACTGTCATTATCAAGTGAGTGAAGAACAAACAAACAAATACTTCAGTCTTTCTGCAGGGGAATTAAAGCAGGGCAGGAGCATTATTATAGAGTATTGTTATATATAGGCAGTTGCTCAAACTTTTATTTAATTTTAAGCAAAAGGAGAAAAGAGCAGTATCAATTTATTGCACTTAACATTTTTTTTAACAATGCCTGAGTGGAGCATTGTCATGTTAGTAAATCTTTGACACTGAATAAAAAATTGAAAATAACATTACTTGAGGCCCTCAGGCTTAACTGCCTCTTAAACACACCAAAGGATTTGGCTGGTTGATTAGTGACCACAAATCATGAGAAACACTTACGCAAAGTTTATCAGTGGGGGTGTGGCATGTCCCTTATGTTACATACTTACAGCTATATGGATGTTGAAAATCTGACATTTGAAAACCTGTTTTTATAGTGCAACCACACCAAATAAAAACCAGCTTCTTCGTTACTCGAAGATTTTGTTTTTGTTTCCCAGACTTGAGAGGAATTATTACAGCCTTGTTCCAGTGTGTATTGTTATGCTGCTCTGTATTGACAGCACACAGTATTTCTTTCTTAAATATGGCAAAAAGTAATTGAACTCGTATCAGAGAACATTTGAGTCGGTGTGCCCTGACAGATGTTGTTGTTGTTGTTGGAAAGAGAAGCACACTGTGATGGTTTCATCAAATGTATATTTAGAGTGATGACCAGTTTACTAAGAAAGCCCTACTTATTTTGACATGATGATATATTGGTGCATATCTATTTTAAGAGAGACACTTTTAGGATAGTGTATATGACCCTGACACCGATTTGTATTTGTGAACAAACACCCCGTTTTGGCATGTATGTCTCAAAATAGTCCAGTGCTGCAAATCAACTGACTTTGTGTTAGGGCTGCACGATTACAAACAAAAAAAAAAAATGTTTTAGGACGTGCGAGATTCAGTAGGCAAATGAACTCAAACACGTCATGTTACAATTATTTTGCTGCTTGCTACAAAAGGAAAAGTCGCGCGGCTCTCATGTCAGGGGTACTTGAGTGAGTGACATGCCGGCTCTGCATGCACAGCAAACCACCAATCACAACCATTGTTGATCAGATCACAGCAGGATAACCGAGCTAGCTCAGCTTGTTGCTCTGATAACTTAAGATCCAGAAGTCCGTGACTAAAATCCTTCATCCGGTTAAATATTGTTAAAAAAATACCAATTGTATAGCATTAAAGTTCAAGAAAGGATGGTTTGCGGACAATAAAAACTGTCTTTTCTTCAATTCCTGTATTTTTCAGGGGAAGAAAATATCGCAAGGTCAGTTTTTTCCAATATCGTGCAGCCCTACTTTGTGTTAATGCCTCTGGCGTTGTGCTGTGAGCTGGGGTTAACTCTGGGGCCGTCAGGAGTTGGTTTTGGACCTGTGTCCTGTGGACCTGGCTGTAGGGACTGATTGTTTTTCCTGCCTCCTTGCCAGAGCTGAACGCCAGAAGGGGGAGCTCTGCAGCTTGTGCAGTGGAAGGGCAGTGGGTGGCTTTGTGTGAATCTGTTTTAACATCTCCCAGACCTTTAGCATTTTTCCTTCCTTGCCCTGCAAACAATGTCACGAAATTGACGAAATTCTTACATCTTTTATTGTGATATAGAAGTTGTTTTTTTTTTCTTTCTCTGAATTCTTCACGACTGATTTATGTGTTGGCTCCCGTCTCTGCGTAACACAGGGGCGGAGAACGGCTCTTCCTCCCAGGGGGCAGTGGGACAGTCGGGGCCTGTGGCCGGCTCCACAGGGGGAGTGTCGAAAGCCTCCAAGGGCCAAGGGTCTGCTGAGAAGGAGGAGCAGGCTGGCAACCAGAAGAGGGCCAGGCGGCAGTGGGAGTCCTGGAGCACCGAGGACAAAAACAGCTTTTTTGAGGGACTCTACGAGGTAAAGGGCTGAACCAAAACACTTAACTTAAAGTGCAGACAGATTACTGACCTCTTAACTACTCTTCTCTCCAGCATGGGAAGGATTTTGAGGCTATCCAGAACAACATCGCAATGAAATACAAGAAAAGAGGCAAGCCAGCCAACATGGTGAAGAACAAGGAGCAGGTTCGACACTTTTACTACCGGACCTGGCACAAGATCTCCAAACACATCGACTTTGCAACTGGTGAGCAGCTCTTTATCTGTTTCACTCAAGAGAAAAGTGGGACCTGTGAAAGTTGAAGGGTAGAACATCTTTTTTAGAGTTGTAGCTCCACCTATAACCTTTTGTAACGATATTAAAATAAAATAAGATGGAACTTTATTAATCCCCGTGGGGAAATTCAGTAGCTTAACAGCAACAGGGTAAGATGGAAAAACAGGACAGCACAGATTCACACAGATGAATACAATTAATTAAATCAAAGATACAAATAAAAAATTGTAAATAACACACCATTTATTAATATGATATTTCAGTTAGAAAAGTTAACATGGTAATGTGTGTGTCCATGGGCTTTAGATTATATCAGTCACTCCGTGTGTCATGATGACGGGAAGACTTCTCTTTAGTCATATATTTAATATATTCCAGGTAAAAAAAAGCTTTTTATTTAGTTTCACTATTCCCACGTTGATATTTATAAAGCATTTCGTTAGACACGGAGACTATCCCAAAAGATACTTGAAAAAAACCTTCTCAGACAAACTGGAGCCCCTGTTGTGTTAACTTCCTTCGTTCCTTCTCAGCGTACTCCAGGGTGCTGAAGAAATCCTCCCAAGAACTGTACGGCCTCATCTGCTACGCCGAGCTCCGCAAAAAAGTTGGAGGGTGTAAGTGAATGCTTTACTAACATGAATGCAAAGTTGTTTTGTGCGCCTGTGTTTGTCAGCTGTTAGATTGGTACTCCAGGGATGTGATTAAGCGCTGCACCCTCCCGGTCACTGGGGACAGCTGCTCCAGTGAGACCGTGTCGTAAACAGCTCTGTGTTTTGTCTTTGACAGTGATGGACGATAAGAACGTGGCAAAGCTGAACGAATTAATCCAGCAAGGGTAAGTGGGTAGTCAAATTAGAACAAAATGCATTTCCACACACAACGGCTATGTTTTAATGCACATATCCGGGACTGTCACGTATGTAGTTTTTCATTTATATTACTATATATCACATCTGCAAAGACAAGTTCTCACCCTCAGTATCAGGTCACAGTGTCATGTGTCAAATACAAGTCATTTGCATTAGCAGCAGGAACACTCGTAATATCAGACTACTGTTACCACTGACTCATCCATAAAAGACCATTTTTAACACATTGTTTGATATTGTATAATGTACCTACTGTGCTGTACTAATGTTATTAATGGTCATTTAGCTTATTCTGTAGTGTAAGCTATCCTCACTCACTGCTGTCCTCTCCCTTCCATCAGGGCCACCACGGTGCGCTCCAAAGGGAGGAACTTACGAATCAAAGCGCCGATGTGCCGAGCCCTGAAGAAACTCTGTGACCCAGACGGTGAGCATGTGACACCCACCGCACTCTATACATACTAAGTAAACAAACATCAGTGCGGAATAAAATAAAAACCATAGCGATGGTGAGACATAGGGTTTGTGGGGGCGGGGTTTTTAGCAATAACAAATGCAAAGCGTGGGTTACTGGCGTTTCCATGGTAACTCTGTGGCAGCAAAGTGAGGAGGAGAGGCAGGATGGAGATGATGCAGCTCACTGGTTCAACTGACTGGCATGCGCCCCTCACCAAACGTACAAAACATATGCTTTAACCAAGGAGGGAATATTAAAACCCCAACACTTGCATCTGCCATGTTTCCCCTTTTTATTCATGTTTACCTTTTTGTATCATTGTTTTGCAAAAAGTCTTGGCATGGGGGTCTCGTCCTGTTGTGTTCCGTTTCCTCTTCTGTTTCCTCTTCTGTTCCACTGAGTTTGGCTACTGTATTGTAGTTGCATGCTAGCATGAAAGTGTACAAGATAATTCAACCCTTTTAATCAAATGATATAAATTGCACTCTCAGCTCTGTATTGTACTGTTCAAGTCGTGCTTTAAGTTCGGTATTTCTTGAATAGTTCCTTATACGATCTCTCTACCTAGGCATCAGCCCTTGTCTGCAGAAAATACCATAATGGCTTTGCTTCCTTGTGAGTGTTCCACATTGACACTGTGTCTTTGTGTCCCTGCAGGAGTTAGCGATGAGGAGGACCAGAAGCCGGTGCGTCTCCCCCTGAAGGTGGCAGTGGAGCTCCAGCCGCGCAGTAACCACTCCTGGGCTCGCGTTCAGACCCTCGCCCACAACCCCCGCCTCAGGTCAGCCATGTTGTTAACTAATGTCTGAGAAGAGTTATTATTTACAAACACAATCACAATTTTTTTTCCTTAATAATGATCTTACAAGCAGAACGTTAAATGTATTTATTTTGTACAACAAGAAGATCCTCTCAGGAACGTTTAGTCAACTTTTCTTTGTTATTGTCAAGGTATAACAATGCGTCAAGCAGAAACAGTTTTGAAACTCTCCTCGACACCGAGTGTCTTCAGAGTGCTCTGACACTTGAGTGAAATACATTTTAATGTAAGAAAATACATTTTCACAATCATTTGCCATTGTTCAGTTATACAACGCAGTGTTTCCCCTAGGTTTACTGCCTTGGCAGGGTGCTGCTCAGGTACCCCGAAACATTTTTTATCCTCTGGAGCAGAGAGAGGAGCTTTGGATTATTGTTATTGATATCGTACAGTAACAAAGTATTTGTACATTAAAAAGTAATAAAGTACAATGTTACACTTTACTTTATTACTTTTATTCAAACTGTATTCCCTTCTTATCATGTAGCCTACACTTCTTCCTTTCACTGATACATTTAAATCACCTGATTACAGCATATAACATACCTGCTGCAACCCTGTGCTGCTGCTGCTTCTCTCTGCCTCATCCTCTATTGCTGAAGGCAGCTCCACCTCATCTGATCTCTGATATGAAAGCAATCGTGTTATGATCATATTGAGCTATTGGTGTGAGTCTAACATTAAACAAGCAGTCTGCTTGTCATACATTACTAACGATACATTTTAAGAGGCAATTTGTTGAGTCACTGCCGCTAAATGCCGGTAGCATCAAGCTAGCAAATCCTGCATTAGCCTCACATCAACAGGTGTAGACAGAACATCCAATTATCCTGAGCTAATTTACTGAATAAACCAACTCACATCTCCTGTCTTTTTTTTCCCCCAACTCATTAGACTATTCTTCTGCTGGCGTTTCATTGTTGTTTTCTTTCAAATTCAATACTGTAGTTCAAAACCGCGGCACCTGCTCACCATCTGTGAGCTATTTTTAGAATGCGCACGCTACGTTCGTTGTCGCGTTCGCGCGCGTCCACCTGGGCAGGCTGTGTGTGTCCTTCTCCTCCGTGACGATAACGGCTTGCGGTTAAAAAATAATAATAAACGAATTTGAAACGGGGGTGGGGGACACAAATGGGCAGACAGCAGAGCTGTTGTTCTCCTCCTTTCCTCTGCTCTTGTCTCTGATTGTGAGTGTGTGCATTCGCGTGTGTAAATAAAATAAAAAAAAAACACCTTGAATTTCAGGCAGGGCGCGGGGCTCCGTTGGCAGGGCGCAGCGCCCCGCCAAGACAATGGTAGGGGAAACACTGAATTAAAGTCAGATCGTGTCTTAGACGGGGCAGTGATATCATAAACCTGTTAATGTACGCATTTAAACACTTTTTCTTTTACCAGCTGTATTCACCTTGCAGGTGCTGCTATGNCTGCCCCTGCCCCCCCGCCACCTGAACCCCAGCCCCCAACTTCCTCTTCCTCCTCCTCCTCTTCCCCTTCCTTACCTGCTAAAGAATCGAAAGAGTCTGGTATTGAGAAGAACCACGAGCCCCACCTGGGACCGAAGCCTCGCTCTCACAACCGGGTCCTCAACCCCCCCGGAGGAAAGTCTAGTGTGGTATTCTACTGATGAGCTGAACACACCCTCCTCCCTCTCACTGTCCATACACTTCTTTTCAGTTCCTCTGTTAATCTCTCTCATTCCATCACCCCTTTCCCCGTGGTTACTTCACCTGTACATCCAAACAGAGCAATCCTCTCTCCAGATATTATGTCCTCAACTTGTTGCACTTTCAGTTGTTTTGCTGGCTTCCAGCTTTTGGTCTAATTCTTCCTAAATGAAACCTGCAACCATTCAATCAACAGTCTAGCCAAGACCTAATCACCTCCACAGTGACACTGTTCAATCTCATTAGTGCAGTTACTCTTTTCTGTGTTTTCTAAATATAGTGTGACATTTGGAAAACAATTTCGCATCTCAAGAATGGTTAAGACATTGAAAGCTCGTACAATGTTCAGCTTTAAAGACGTAGATTCAATATTATTTGATGTAACCAAAATCTTTGCGTAAACATTTAAAGCAGACATTCGCCCAAATATCGGGGTTATTTTTTAATCCTGAAAGTGTCGGAGTTCGATCAGGAGGGGTTAACCAGACCACGCCAATTTAAAATGTTTCAGGGAGTTCCACTAGTGCCAACTTCTAATGGGTTGCCTTATTATATTTGGATGACATAAAACATTTTTTTGGCTTGACAAAATAATACGTGTTGAACTACAATTCATGCTTGTATAATCGTAGCCTTATTTTAGTTCAGAACGGTTTCATCTCTCTTCATTCTCAATATGTTCTGTGTCCAACATTAAACACCTGCTGTCAGAGCACACACTCTGTTCAGGGATAGATGCCAAACAATTGAACTTAAAACCAAGATGAATGCTATTGTTTGCTCCCAAATGTTTCTGCTTCCGTAAAGAAAATTCCATTTTGATTGTATGCGGATGTGTTGTGCTGGTACTTTTCTGCTTGGTCCTCATTGCTTGCTGTGAGAACATGCCTTTTTCAGCTTGGGGTAGGCCTCTGTTTATGTTTTAAATTAAAACGGCTGAACACAAGTGAACTCTGGACAATCGCGCGGCCTACCTGAGTCCAGGTGGGCTCAGTTATAATCTCCTCTTACCCACCTCATGATGCACATTCATGGTATTCTGGTGCCAGCCTGCCCCCAAGTGTTGATGTGCCTGGCAGGCAATGAGCACAGCAGAAGAAGAAATCCTGTGTATCGCAAATAAAACTGTTGTTTTGCATTTAAAGTTTGCCTCTTTTGTTTACTTTCTAAACACCTAGCTCGAAAACTTCTTATTGAAATGTAGTAATGGCAAGTTTAAAAGGCGTACTAACTGAATTACAATGGTATGGAAATTATGTGCATAGCTTGTTGAATGTTTGCCTGGATAAGTGTACATGTGACATTTAAACTAAGCCTCATCTTATAAATTAGTATATTCTTGAATCACTGATACCTTTGTCCAGATTTGCCTTTTGGCAGCACTGTGGAAACTGCTTGTTCTAAGACAGAAAATGGCCCCTTTGTGTTTTACTAAATGCACTGTAGAAAAATGTAGTTTTAGGTTTGAAACTACACATCTAAATCTGCAGTCCTTTTTTTCATTTCCTCCCTTAAGCAACAGACTAAGGACAGACAAATAAAAAGTTAGTTCATGTGAGTACACAAGTATTAGTCCTATTTCTATGATGCCCTGCAGCCTTAAAGAAGGAAGATTCTCGAACACACATTTCCTGAAATGAAGGCCAGACTCAGCAGGCAGAACAAAAAATGACTGACTTAAACATGATGTCAGCCTTGAAATTAAAATATCACGCTCCACATCCCATTGTGCTCACAATGGTGGGGAAGAATGACTCTTGTTTTTTTTTTTAGTAAGGTATGATGACAACTGTAGGAAATTGCATAACTTCCTCAACCATTTTAACTATGCATTCCAGAGCAAGACGACAAACAACTCGTGTCTAAGTTGGCTGAGTTACAGAATGGCATGTGGTGCATTTTAAGCTATAACAACATCGGACGAGTGATCCATACTAGACTAACCTGATTGTTATAAAGGCTGCTCAGGTCCTGGACCTGCCGTCAGTTTACCTCACTATGTATGCTAAGACTTTAAGATGTGTATACTGATGTTGAGCACACTGTGAATCTTTGGCAGGAGGAAAACAGGAGCTGGGACATCCTAAATTCCTTGAGTCTAACTTCTGGCCAGATTTTCTGAAGAAGTCCTGTAACGAAGCCACGTAGTGTGTTTATCTCAGTTAGGACTATTGGGACAGGTGCAAATGAAATGCAACATGTTATAAATGAGGAACTTACTATAATAGTTGACCAAGAAAATGCAGTAATATGATGCTAAGAAAACCAGATGCTTGTTTTTAGTTTCTCAACTCAAACAACTTTCATCCAAGTTCACGTAAGTTAACATGTTTTTTCTCTCCTTTTAGTGCAATACCAAGCAGTATTATGTCTGAACCTCAAACCACTTGTTGGTGTCAGAGGACCACCCAGCATCTGCTGTAAGCCTCTGAAGGAAAAACTGATGAAAAGTGAAATGTGTAAAAATTGTCAGTATTTCACTGCCACCTACTGAAGTGAATAAGAACAACTGAAGCTTTTGCATTTTCCAGATTCCAGAGTGTTGTCAAGTATTTACTATGTTTATATTTTGTTGCAGTTGGGTATAGTTTTTATGTATGCGGTAGTTAAGATGCTTCGGAGCTGCGGGCCTTTTCTCTACAGTTGTTATGCTTCATTGACCAGTTTTTGTCTCCATTGTTAACCCTCTCTACCGCAGACAATGGCCCAAGCTGCACTTGTCTGACTGAAAGAAAGTTCAAGAGGAAGATATTCTCCCTCAACTCCTCACCCTTTTTTATAGTCTGGGGGTGGTTTCATACGTCCTTTGCTGTTCTATCTCTGGGGTCTTGAGGCTGTTACCTTACTTCTTGTTTTAAGGCATTTCTTTCTTACCCGTTGATCATAATATTAATCTTGTACAACCAGTGGCGTAAAAAGGTTGTGATTGGCCCCGGTGCAAATATTGTTTTCGGGCCCCCCCCCCCATCGCCCCAAACATAAGCGCACACTGATGCACTCACACACTCACGGACATACACTCTCTCTTGTCCTTTCTCTTTTGAGTGCCGCTCTTGTGCTTTGGTTTGCTGTACATTATAAATGCAAGCTATTACATAATAATGCTGCCGAACTTGCTGCTGCTAGCTGCAGTACAGTACAGGTTGATTAAACGGTTCGCTTAGGTATCGCATGACATGAAACTTTAAGGGAGCAAGGTCATTGGACAGACAAATTACAAATTCATTTAGGTTGCTTGGTTACTTTGAAGACTGCATTGGCCTCTGGGCCCCGGTGCGTTGCACCGGCTACACCGTTGATAGTTACGCCACTGTGTACAACAGTCTTCATTTGCAAATATATTAAAGCAAGTAGGGCAATGACCAAATGTAATGCACACACTTCAGAAGAAGATCCTTATCAGCCTTTTTGTGAGACACTTATTGCGATTATATTTGCTTTAAATTAATACGGCATGACAATTGCGTTACTCTTTCCATCTCTCTTGCAGAGTGAAGTGCATGATAAAGTTCTGACCATGGAAAGCTGAATTCTTACATCTTGTCTTGTCAATGGGAAAAAATATGAAGGTGAGTCCCTTTTCTGAGGATATTTTGAATTGTATTCAGATGGATGGGGAAACGGTGTTTCACTGAGGAGATATAATTAGTCCACTATCAGTCCAAACTGTCCGTTATTTTAATTTGATATGGTCTCCCAGTTTCTCTATCTGCACTCTCCTAATATTTCTTATTTTACTGAAGTTAGTTATAGATAATCTCAGTAGATTTCATATTTATTTTTTGGCATTTGACGCCTTTTGAATGCAAGGTAGATTCTGTTTTACATGATGCACTTTTGTCCCTATTTACTGCAGAACAAAACTTAGAAATTACTTTGTATCAACAGAGCTGTTTCCTCTGGTATTAATACACATGTGTGTATAGTTCTCATATACTGACCCCTTGAGACAAGATGTGCATAGCCTACTTAATTAAGCAACATCTTCAATACAGATGATTCATGAACTAGACGGGGGTTTTCTATAACCAGCTGAGCACTAATCCTTTGAAAACACAACTTTAAAATATTTTAAATAAAAAATATACTTTGTGTTGCCAGTGTTAGGTTAAGAACAAATGTTTTAAATAGAGAATGCATTGTCATTATTATTACATTGTAGCACCAGCAGGTACTGCTGCGGTCTTTGGTAAAGTGGAATATGAAGACAACACCACTTCCGGTTTTCAACTTCCAAAATAAAACTACCGTCAAGCTGGGGACTGTAAAGCAGGCCTTCCAGAGACAGGGTACTGAGGTCATGTCCTCAGTATTTCTATGAAAATTGGATATTTATTTACTATTATGGGGAATAACAGTTAAAAATATATGTGAACAAATACATTCGAGAAATATGTTGACATTTAATTTTTTTGGGAGACTAATCATTAGAGACTAAACATGTAGGTATTGGGTTTAGTATTAAGCTGTAAGTATATACAATAGGCTACTTGATCCTAAAGTTAGTGCTGAATGTAGGAGAGAGGACTGTATTAATGAAGCCATTTAAATGCCATGGCTGCCATGTAAGTGCCTACGTTTTTTACTAACTTACTTAAGTATTACTAGTCTTTGTATTAAATATGTGGTCTCTAAACTGAGATGAGCATGACCAAAACATCACATAATATCATCACATAACTGCAGAAAGCCACCACCAGAGCATAACCCTAACCCTAACCCATGTAGAGATGGGGAAAGAGAAGCCACTTTTTTAATACCACAAGGGGGAAATCAGTTTTCATATAAATAAAGATACCCAAATGCATAGGTCGTATACACATTAGACCTGAATACAAATGCATGGATCAAAGAAGCTGCCATGTTTTATAGCTCCAGGGTTCGATGCCTTGCTAAAAGACAGCTTGGCAGTTAATGAGGTGAACTGACACCTCTTCAGATACCAATCCACACTCTGTACCTTTATCGATATGGACTTAACCCGTTGACCCTTCTGCTCTCAAGACAAGTCTCTAAAGACTGACCTACCGCTGCACCAATCAAAGTTTATTTTATATTTTGAATATCATTTTATTTTCCTTTATGAGATAAGATTAGATTACAATTGTATTGTCAATGCACAAAGTACAACACAATGCAGTTTGCATTCACCCAGAAAGTGCAAAGAGTAGGAAAGTGCATGAGCTTAGAATAAATATTATATTTCAATCCCTATGTCCTTCTGGACTGCCTATGAACGGCCCGACGGGGAGAAAGCAATGTTTTGAATGTATTGGTCTCAGTCAGATATAATTGTCTAATTTTGAAAGCGTGAAGCTGACATCCGGTTCAGTCCCCCTGACTTGACGCACTTCGTCCGCTTGCTCAATGCAGACGGGGTGACGTCAGTCGGTCAGCTGGCTCCTGCATCTGAAGGCAGGAGAGCCTCTCCCATTGGGAGACATCACCATCACCGCCCGAGCCTGGCCATCGGCCGCCCGCAGGAAGGAAGGGGAATAAAACATGGAGGACACGGTGTTATTATAGTTGCGGATCGGGCGTCAGTGGGGATCGGGAGATTATTTATTAATATATTTATTTATTTATTTCCCTTGTCAGCAATGGCCGGGGTCCATGGCTGCGGCTGCTGAGAGGCAGGTGCAATATCATCGACATTTCATTTCTCGGCATGGGCTCAACGAGGGCCGATCCACAGGCTGCTCTACACGCCCTCTGCTCCCCGGATACCACGCTGTCTGCGGGGGGAGAGGAATAGCCGGGCCGCGTCTGGAGGTGTGGATGAGGGGGGCCTCTTTACATCAAAATATTAGAGCCAGTAATTTCAAGGTTATGCGCCGTTACACACAGCAACAGCCAGGCTTCCTTCAGTGAATCAGTGCATGCTGCAACATGACATAGGGTTGGTGGGCTTTATTTTAAGGAAACACTGATTGAATCCACCTTTTTCTGCATAAGAGGATCCAAAACCTTTTGACAGGCCTGAAAAAACTGTTGAGCCTCCTCATCTGGAAAACAGAAGCCGGTTCCAGCTGCCAAGATGATGGAGCTACAGATAGACGAGGTGGTGTACCAGGACGACTACGGCTCCGGGTCCGTGATGTCGGAGCGGGTGTCGGGCCTGGCCAACAGCATCTACCGGGAGTTTGAGAGGCTGATCCGCAGCTATGACGAGGAGGTGGTGAAGGAGCTGATGCCGCTGGTGGTGAACGTCCTGGAGAACCTGGACGGGGTGCTGACGGAGAACCAGGAGCATGAGGTGGAGCTGGAGTTGCTGAAGGAGGACAACGAGCAGCTCATTACCCAGTACGAGAGGGAGAAAGCGCTGAGGAAACAGGCGGAAGAGGTGAGTCACTCCCCCGGCTCCGATGGGCCTCTGCCCGCTCCATCACGTCCAGCTTCACGCTGCATCCTCCCTGTGTCACGGTGCCCTGTCTGAACTGCCTCACCAGACATGTGACTCATGTTTAGGGCTGTGACAGCAGATTATTTTTAGTGTCAATGTACTGCAGACACTGCTGACCTATGTGCAGCAGCAGCAGACCAATGACCAATGTGCAGCAGCAGCAGCAGTGACTTCTATGAAGCTCTTAGAAATACAATCTATACCCCTATATAGACTTATATTGGGTTTTAGTAGAACTGCTTATAACTAGGCTCACCCATTAGAAAATGTACTTTCTTTTTCTAAAAAAGGAAGACCAGACATTACCTGTTCTGTTTAAATTACCATTACACGTTTGTTTTTGTTGAGCTGTTATCAGTGCTAGGTTTTAAGTGTGGTAATTCAAAATCAAACATCCTGCAAAATACAAATTATTTAGACAAAATCATGCTATTCCAAACCTGCTTTCTAGTAATATCATACATGTCAAGATGTGCAGGTCAATGTGAAGTCACTACAGACAAAGGAATGTTTAACAAGAAATCTGTTGCAGTGGAGTAAATATATGCAGTACAAGTACACACTGTCATGAAAACCTATTAATATGTATGGACAACAGCATTTGTATTTACTATAACAACTACTCATATACTACTAGGTTTGCTAATACCACTGTAGTATTTTTGGACCTTGTTCAGTTTTTACTTTGACAGGTATTGCTGTCACAACAACTGCAGCTGCAAATACTACCTTCCCCATTGTTACTACAACTTACTACCTTCCCTATTGTTACTACAACTTACTCCTAACAGTATTTCCACTTCTGCACACCATAATGCCAACACAAAATATGACCAATATACAATACAAATCTCACTTTTTAAATAAAATAAACGAAATTAGTCTCCTTTTTAGTGCCCTTTGTAAGGTCCGAGGTGACACTTTGTACAGTTAAAGTATATATGCAAATGCCTGAGCACACAATATGCAAACAGAACACCAAGTAAGGACATGATAGCGTAGAAACACTACATGGTGAAAAAGGGGCAGTCTGCACAGCTCTGACAGAGGACATGTTTAAGCACAACTCAGTGGGCGTTTACACTAAAAAAACCACAGCAAGAACAGGGACAAGAACAACAAAAGTGGACATCAATACAGAGCTATTACATTACCGGCCAAGCTCCACCTCCAGCAAATCGTTTCCACCTCTCTGACCGGTGTAACAGCAGCCGTGGGATCCGGCAGGTTTTCATAAAGCAACTTTAATCCTCCTCCCATCCAAAGAGGCCTCAGCATATCACTGTCTGCAGCCCTGCTAGCCTCAGCTTAGCTCAGCTTTCATCATCTGCTCTCCCGACACTGTGCTTCCTCCCTGTGGCGCTTATCTAGTTTGTTTTCACTTTAAGCTGTTAATGAGGAGAGGACTCTCTTGGTGTGTTAACATTTCAGGGTTAGGATATTTAAGCTTATTTTAATGTCATAGTATTAAAGAAATGTAGTTGCGTTGTTAGGAGCTGAGCCAGCTGAAGCTATTTTAATTGACAGATGCCAACAGGTCAAGACATGTTTTGTTTTACTAAATAGTGACTTAAACTTCAACTGAAAGTGTCTTTGTGATAACTTGCTGGTGATGAAATAATCTTTAACAATACTTTCTGTACTTTGATATAGAAATCTAAAGGGTCTAAATCAGACAATGTGCTGTTGGAAGAGCTATCCTTTCTTTGTTAAACAACACAAGATGTAATGCTGGTAAAAGCCTCAATGATAAAACATGCTTCAAAGCAGACTTCATCTCTGCCAAGGTCTTGAATATGACACTGTTTATCTCAGTTAATAACCTTAACTCAGTTGCCTGCCTGCTTCCCTTGTCTTTTTCCCAACGAATGATACATTTCCACTCACCAGACCAGATTTGAAACTTCATATGTGACAGACATGTCCACAACATTCCCCTTTTTATAATAATGATACACTTTGCATTATCAATTAGATCTTTATTACTTATGTTCTCTATCGAGTGAAGGTTGTGGTGAGATTGATGCAGAGTTGTAGGCTGTTTTGTTACTCTGACTGACAGAGGCTCTGAGGCAGTTGGTGTTAAAGTGTCTTACATATAGCGTATATTTATATTCTTTTACTATTTTAATGCCTTCACCAAAAGTTGTTTTTTAAATTGCACCCACACCTATTAAATGATAAGCGTTGTCATTATATTTTATTGAGACCATTAAGTAGTTTGTTATCTAAATCACAGGCGGCACAATATGTGTTTAAGACAACATTTTTTACCATAATACCATTTAGAATATAGTATTATGGTGCTGCAGAGATGTCTTGGTATCCAAATATTATTTTTAAGAGTGATCAAAAAACATTCTTTTTGTACAGATCCTGGCAAAAATCACACCATAGTAATTTTACATTTGATTTAAAGCTCTAATATCCTGAATCATATCCGTGAAGATGATCCCATTTTTCTCAGTCCTAGACTTATTAATATCTTCTGCATTTTAAAAGGTAGCAATTGACTCGGTTATAATCTAGTGATCTCTTTATGGTCAAGTGTATTTGATTGTTTCTTGATCTTCTGTTTTCTGAACTCTCTAAGATTATGTTAGCAGCCAGTGAGAGAAGTCAATTACATTACATTAGGTTATACATTTCAATGGAACAAATAAACAGAGAGACAGTTTTGTCAGACTCTCACAGGGGTATAATGGGGGATGGGACAGTAGTGAGGGGTGGGGTAACATAGGAAATCAATAGTACACATAGCACACTGAGGGAGTCTGGCACTGTAACCTGATTTGTGTTTATGATGAGCAGAGACGGAACAACAAAATCAGAAACAGAGAAAGAGATTGACGGTTGGAAAGCTGCAGTAAGAGCGAGTTAAAGCACAGGCCAGATCTGACAGCAGGAGAATAACAAAGAAAAGAGTGTGACGGAAAATCTCAGAGCCTGACAATAACCCTCCCTTCCACAAGACGAGCAGAAAGCGGCTCATATTACAAGGTTGTTCGACTCGAGCTAATGGTAAACAAAGCCACAGTCTGCTTATCACGCAGCCTTCACTAGCACAACCAGCATTACAGTTACTACAGCCACGTTAACAAATTCAGCCATTTTGTAGCATCCTCCTTGTTGTTTCCTGCCTTGTTTGTCTGGGGCCGCCTTCTGGAACGATCCATCACTCTGTATCAAAGTGTGATGACAGTAACGTTGATAATCTGCCTCTCACTATTCTCCTAACGTGCTGTCTATGAATGGATTTACTATTGTGAGCAGTTCATAGATAACTGTTTTGAACTAATCCGCTTCAATCGAGAGCTGCAATGATTTATTGATTATTCAATCGACCCAAATATAACCGCCAACAATTTAGACATTGGATTAGTTGTTGTCGTTCAAAAAAGGTAGAAACAGTTTTGTTTTTTTCAGCCTCTGAAATAGAAGAATTCCTGCTTTTCTGTGTGAAAATCTCATGGTCTTCAGAGAACACTTAAAGACATGACTTTTGCTCTTAAGAAAGTGGGATTGACTTTTTTGCACTGTTTCATAAAATGTCAAGTCATTGAGGAAAAAATCATTAGATTAATTAATTTAGAAAATAACCTTTTCTTGCAGCCCTACTTTAATTCTTGGCCTGCAGATTAGGTCACCTAACATGCATCTTGACATGTGACTTGAGAACTTGAACGTATTTTAAACATAGACACATGCTAAAGCCTTTTCTCCCTGTATCTCAGGAAGTACACGGTGTAAATATCTGGAGGTGTGACAACATTACAGTCAAATGCATTTAGCTACAGTTCCTCAGGGAAGCACATTATGTTTACTCTGTCATCACAAGGTTTCCTAATCACTTATTCAAACTGGATTCCACCCTATAAATACACATTTAAAGTATTCTACCTGTGTATTTAATGTTTGCATAACTCAAATATCCTATGGGTAAATGCATCAATATGTTTTTAAAGAATCTAGTCATACATTATGTACGCTGTAACTCTTAAATGTTATAATAGTAGAGAGATGAGAGAAGGCATTTAAAGAGTGTTATTTTAGGCAGGACAGGATGCTCTGAAGGTAGAGCTACTGAAAAGCATTGTGATGGTGCCTAGTTTTAGGCCATTTTAAGTAGGTCATTACATCATTTGGTACCACTTTACAATAAGACTACACTTATAAAGGATTCATAAAGGGTTATTAATTAGGTTGTGAACACTTTATTAATCCTTAAGAACCATTTATAAACCAGTTCTAACAGTTTTCATACATCAACACAGGCTCACTATTTGGCAAGATGACTAAGCCTTACATTGGCTACCTAGCTTACTTCGTCTTCTTCATCAGCCAGCATCCTTGGTATCTGTTGTTCACTGAGTTGATTCTCCCCCCTTCCATCTTTATGTTTCTTGGCATCTCTTTATGACCATTTATTTATGAGTTACTAACAATTTATAACTGCCAAAAGGGAGCCTTATTGTAAAGTGTAAAACACATTCCCATTTATTAATGAGTTACTACCATTTCTAATAAGGCTTAGCAGTACAGATAAATGTGGGCTCACAATTTTGGCAAGCAACCGGTTTATCTCATGTCTTATAAAAGCTTATTAATGATTTATAAAGTGTTCACAACCTAATTAATAAATGAATTACAAACTATTGGTAAACCCTTTATAAGCAGGGGTACATAAGTGGTACGTAGGTATGCATGCGCGGCAACAATCTGAAATGCGTACAGTCACTTGTGTCACAAAGCGCATTTGCGTACCGACGTACTTGTGAAGCTTTTCCAGAAGGCGGTTAGATCGCCGGACGACAGAGTCGGTCTCCGTGTGCACAGACAGGGCTGCTGTTAACGTCGGTCTGTACAGCAGGGANCTGGGCTCACAATTTTGGCAAGCAACCGGTTTATCTCATGTCTTATAAAAGCTTATTAATGATTAATAAAGTGTTCACAACCTAATTAATAAATGAATTACAAACTATTGGTAAACCCTTGATAAGGGTAGTCTTATTGTAAAGTGGTACCCATCATTTTAATAAATACACCTAATAGGGGAGGTGTGTGGCGCATTAGATTAGTGCGCTGGTGTTGGGATCAGGGGGTCACAGGTTCAAACCCCACTGCTGTCAGCATGTCGTTGTGTCCCTGAGACACTTCACCCCAAATTGCTCCTGTGGGGATTGCCCACAGTATTGAGTATGTAAGTTGCTTTGGATAAAAGCGTCTAACAAGTAACATGTAATGTAATACAAGCAGAAACCCTTTCCTGCTGCTTACTTTGTTTGAATTAGTCATTGTTTTTGTGTAAGGCACTACATAACACTATGCTGCTCATCATATATGAGTATTTCATGTTAAAAAAAGATGGAAAATCCAATTGTTTGTGTAGTCAGGTGGTTTATTTCACATACTTGTTTTTCAGTTATTACATTGGTAGCAAATGCTCACAAAACAACACAGTATCTACAGACGGGTGTTTATTTAGCTTGTCAGTTTATAATAACATGCAAATTGACCTTTGATTGAGTCGTGTTTTTGTCATTAGGTTGACTTGCTCTACAAACCTGGCTTTTTTAATAAGCCTGCAAGAAGAGTAAGATCTCTCCAACCTATCACCCTCAGAGTCAGATACAATCAGCAGCAGAAAGGATTAATTGGTTCATTTCCTGCTTAAATCCACTCTGCATATGACCAACAAGTAGTGGGAGTGTTGTCTGCCGGATATCAATATTAGTTTCTGTGTCAAACTGAAGGTCTTTATATTATAGCAAGTGCCTTTGTGTGCATTGAATATCTGCTGCAGGGTCCTGGTTGAATAGTCGCCCTTCAGTCAGAGGATTACAGTGTTAAGACTTTGTGGACTGCTGAACTGAAAAAAGGAGGACATTGTGAAGAGTTTTATAATAAAAAAGAACAAAAACAAACAGGGAAATGGAAGTAGACTGCTCTGTGTTTGAACATTGCTCAGCCACAGAGTTTATGTTTACACTGTATAACCAGCTGAGGTATTTTATAGGGCTGCTAAAACCTTTCTCCAAGAGACAAAAGCTTTAAAAGAATGATTTACTGTATATTGAAAACACTTTTTCTTTTACTTATTAACTCTCAACAATTCTATTATTACAGTACATGCTGTCTATTAGCCAAAAGCATAGTAGCCCTAATCTTAGTCTGGTGTTTCTTTCCATATTGAACCAACATGTAATCTAATCATCTTTGGTGCAGTTTATGAATGTATTCCCAGCTGTTTTACACATCTTTGTTCCCGTTTCCTCCTTTTTAGAAATTCATTGAATTTGAAGATGCGTTGGAAGCTGAGAAGAAGGATCTGCAGGTGCAGGTGGAGTTTCTGGAGCTGCAGTCCAAACAGCAGGAGCTCAAATCAAAGAACTACTCCGACCAGAGTGAGTGGGAAAACATCCCAGCTGATAACGTCTGTGTTCTTACAATTTAATGAACGTGCAGCACATGTGACTGTTTCTTCACGGGTGTCTCTGTTAGAGTTGAGAGCTATAGTCAGGTCCAAGTTGATCCTTACACATAACACAACGAGAATATAAACAAAAACATCCAGTTGTGACTCATGGCCTTTAGCTAGGTCTGGGGAGTATGACCAAAACCTTCTATCCTGATGTAGATCATTTCATATCTTCATGGATTTCAGGATATAGTTGGTTTTCTGGGAAATTACCCAACATCTGTATCTTTATGGAAAAAACCCAAAACACATTGTGAATTGTACATTTTTATCTTTTATTTAATGTCACTGTTAAATTGAGTTAAATAAACTGTCATGAAGCCCCAGTTCCCCTCGGGACAAATTAAGTATTTGATTCAGATTTTGATTATCATAAAGCCTATTTTTGCAATCTCCTCTGGGATTGGCATGTCATGTTTTCTTATTTGATGCTGTCAGGATTCCCAGTGGTTTACTGCAAGTTAGCTTGAATAGTAACTTAGAAAATACTCCCTGGTAAGTCTTTGCTCCAACTATTATAATCCGTACTCTTTTCTAAACTGTTTTCTATCTCTGTCTCCCAGTCGTGCGGTTGGAGGAGCGAGAATCAGACATGAAGAAAGAGTACAACGCTCTGCACCAGCGCCACACTGAGGTGAGGGCAACATTCAACTTCACAACTGGAGTCTCAACGCATTCATCTTAGCTTCATCTTGAACATTCCCATTGTTATATCTACAAACTCAACCGAAGACACATGCCTGTTAACTAATGCCAATTTGATTCCTGCTATAATGACCACCCTGAAACCTATTGCTCCATTTTACATTCCAGGCAGCCATTGATTTCATCTTAGAAAGCAAGTGCAGACATGTTTGTTAGTCTTATTGATTATCTGTCACAACAACTATTCATATATTATTGGTTTTCCTGGAAAGTACAGAAACACAATACAGAACAAAAGGTAATTCAATAAGGGTCACCATTACCACCTTCGTGTGTTTTGTATTAAATAAACAGCAATATGCAAAAGCCCAAGTGTGGTCCCTTTGAGATTAAGAATCCCATGGTCCTTGGCGTTATCAAAATATTAGACTATTATTAATGTATATTATCCAAACTTCTTTACTTACCCATCCAGGAATATCTCTGATGCTTTCTTGTCCATGTCCTAAACATATAACTTTCCTCTCCTTTTCTTCTCACATGTTCCCTTTTTGTTTGTCATTGTGTATCTCAGATGATCCAGACATACGTCGAGCACATAGAGCGGTCCAAAATGCAGCAGGCGGGGAGCAACAGCCAATCAGAAGGCACGGGCTGTGGACGAACGTGAGTTATTTTAACGTGTGTGTTGGTGTGTAAAGGTTGTTTGTATATCTATCACCCATTGTGTTGTTGCTGATGTTTCATGTTTTGTCCTGAATGTATTAGGCTTCACATGATTCAAAATGCTCATTGATGCTGGTCCTTGTTTGTCAGTAAATACATGAACAGCTGATACGCTTGACTTATAATATTCTATTTGAGGAATAAGATTAGGATGCGTAGGATTTTTTCTGACTCATGTGATCCAAACATTTCCAATAACCTTAAAGCCAGAGGCAAATATTTGTTTAAAAAAAGACAGATGTTATCATCGTGTTTTTATCTACAAAATATTCTGCTCCAAGTCATATTTGTTGGCATTTAGCTTTTCGAAAACAACCTTGTCACTGCTGTCAAATTGTGCAGCCTTGTGGGAAATCATTCAAAAGAAGAAAATCTGAAGTTTATTTTTCCGGCTCGCAGTATCCAGCAGTCGGCCAGCCCATGAGTCATGAATATTTATAAGCACGAACAGAGAGGAGGAGTGAGACATCTGCTGTAGCTACTGAAGCTGAACTGCATTTGTTATGTTCACTAAACAGTATCTTGAATATCGATCCACTAAACTGTCTCCTTCCTAAAACTGAAAGTCTGTATGAACCAATAGAAACAGAGGACTGTGTTTACTTGTGATGGTTTGCTCATCATTTCCTTAGGATAGTGGTCATAATGATTGAATAATAAACATTAATGAGACTTACAAGATTCATAACTTCTTAACAAACGGCTGAGCAGCTTAATGGAAACTAAGAATAATCTTAAAAAAGCAATTAAATAATACTTGTGTGTGTGTGTGTGTGTTTTCATATGTCATGGCATGTTCATGTCACTTGTCTCTCTCTAATCACTGTCTGTCTGTTTGCTGGCTTGCTCTCTGTTGCTGCTGTTTGCACAGTCAACGCCACACATGGAGGAAAAGGTAAATCCCTCACGCCCCCCCCCCTTGATTTGCTGATGCCCCCAACGCGCCTAAACACCCTATTTATAAAAGTGTTTCTTTATGTGTTTGGGTTAGTAGTTAAGATGCTTTTGACAACATTTTATTGCCTTGAATGTATACATCCCCTTGCATTCTGATAACAAATAGGGAATGGTTCAGAGATTATGTTAAGAGATGCATTATGTTCCAGTTTTATCCTCTTTTCCCTCATGGGTTGCCAGTCAGTCTTTCTGTTTGATCCTGCTTTGCTTGCCTTATTTGCCCTTCTACCAAAAGTGAAACAATAGTATTCATCAAAGATGGAAGCATTTATATGGAAATACATTCATACAAAATAAACTGTAATAGGTATCTGTAGCAGTTCATGTAATGTTGTGCTACTTTCTGATGTGGGAAAAACAAGATCTCAATCTAGCATTACACAAACATTACATTACATTGCATTTAGCTAACGCTTTTATCCAAAGCGACTTACAATAAGCGCGTTCGACCAACAAAGTACAAACTTGAAGAAAACACAATCATATAAGTAGTAGTTCAAGTGCTACTCAACTGGCTTTAGATAAGCCAGTCCTTTATTAGTATATAAGTGCTTTGTTAGTAATTCTATCGCTCGAAGTGGAGTCGAAAGAGATGGGTTGTCAGTCTGAAGAAGATGTGTAAGCTTTCTGCTGTCCTGATGTCAATGGGGAGCTCATTCCACCATTTTGGAGCCAGGATAGCAAACCCACGTGTTTTTGCTGATAGGAACTTGGGTCCCCCTCGCAGTGCGGCTGCAGCGAGCTGTTTGGCTGATGCAGAGCGGAGTGCACGTGCTGGGGTGTACGGTTTAACCATGTCCTGGATGTAGGAAGGGCCAGATCCATTCGCAGCATGGTACGCAAGTACCAGTGTCTTGAAGTGGATTCTAGCAGTTATCGGAAGCCAGTGAAGGGAGCGGAGGCGCGGCGTGGTGTGGGAATATTTAGGAAGGTTGAATACCAGACGAGCCGCTGCATTCTGGATGAGCTGCAGAGGTCGGATGGCACAAGCAGGTAGACCAGCCAGGAGGGAGTTGCAGTAGTCTAGGCGTGAGATGACGAGAGCCTGGACCAGAACCTGCGCTGTTTTCTGGGTCAGCTGGGGACGTATCCTCCTGATGTTGTAAAGAGTGTATCTACAGCAGCGGGTTGTTAGCAGCTATATTTGCAGTGAAGGACAGTTTGTTATCTAGGGTCACACCCAGATTCCTTGCAGTCTGAGTCGGGGAAACAACAGAGGTGCCGATGTTGATTGTTAGTTCAAGAGTGGGACAATCTTTTCCCGGAAGGAAAAGCAGCCCAGTTCGTCTTGTTCAAAGGTTGAGCTTGAGTGGGGGTTTGGAGCAAGACTCCACTAAGAGGGATTTGTCTGAATAAGACCCCAAAGCAGAGATGCGTGGCGACGACCCTGGGGGGTCCTCTGAGCGGGGAAAGGACAGAATTAGTTGGGTGTCATCAGCGTAGGCAGTGGTATGGGAAAAAAAACCATGGCGAGCTTAATGAAAAACTGGATCCCCGAAGGCGAGGTTTGGTGTACAAGGAAGGAAGAAGGGAGGGGGAAACCCAAGGGACCAGAAGGGGCCTGAGGGGACCCCCCTGTAAGTTAATTGACAAGGGGGTCCGGACCGGACCCTCTTCCCAAGTTACCCCTGGTAAAGGTGCGGTCTTTGAGGTTATGAGGTTTAGAGAGGAAAGTGGCCAGAGCCTGAACTCCAAGTTCTTGAAGGAGGTGGCAAGGAGGGACCTGATTGGGTTCACCGGTCCGAATGCAGCCGACAGATCCCGAAGGTGAATGACAAGAGGGAGAGGGGAGGCTCTTTAGCAGTGGGTCCCAGTTTCCCTCGAAGGGGACAGCAAGGGAGAAGCAGTTTTTCGCCCTGTTGAGTGGACCTTTCCCCCCTTTTAGAAACCAGACCTGGGGTTGGCGGATCCAGAAGGGTTTTTGTTCCTGAATGGAGATAACAGGAAGGTTGTTTAAGAACAGCCGCGTTCAGCGTTTTTAGACAGGAACGGGAGGAGAGAGGAAGGGCCCCTGTTGTTTTAATAAACATCAGAAAAATGGGGGGTTTGGAGAGTGGGGGGTTTTCTTTTAGGAGAGGGTTTACTCTTGACCTCCCATTGGAGAGTGGTTTTTTTTTGGAAGTAAACCGAGTTAGAGGAAAAAGTTGTTGGAATAAATGGGGTGGAAGAAAGCAGTAAGAATATAAGAAGCGGATATTTGAAAGGAAGGGGTTTTTTTGAGGGGAATAGGGTCCGAGGAAGGTTGGTAGGACCCGGGCAGAGGGGTTAATGAGGGGGGTAAGGAACTCAACTTAAGAAAGAGGAGGGGGGAGAAGGAGGTCAGTGGTGTTGGGGGTTGGGGGAAAGGGAGTGTCCCTGGGTGACCAAAGCCGGTGAGTAAAGGTGAGGTTCAGAAAAAAGGAAGAGCCGAATATCAAAATCAAACCTTTTTTTTCAAGTGGTTTAACAAAGGTCGCTTGGACAGAAAGGGAAAGGAGGGGGAAGGGGCCTTTGGGGGGGGTCCAAGAGGTGGGGAGAAGAAAATGGAAAAAATAGTTTTGGGGTTTGGAAAAAATAAGGAAAGATTGGATCTTATCTTGAAGAAAAGTGCTTTTTTTTGCCTGGAGAAGATGGAAGCATGAAAAAGAGGAAGAGGAGAAGGCCCCTGAATAGGTTTAGGAGGTCCCGTCTGGTGTTTTGGATTTCCCACCATTTCCGCTCTGCCTGCCCGAAGGAATGGTCTATTTACCACGCGTGCGTTCCCCCCCATTTAGCCCAGGGAGCAGGGAGGGGACCTGACCAAAGCCTGCCCGAGATGTGGGAAGAGAACAGAAGGAGTAGTCCAGAGAGGATGGGAGAAGAGTAGAGGAGAGGGTTTTCCTCAGCAGAGTTTGGAGCAGGGTTGGGGAACGAGTTTCCCAGAGGAAGGGAAGGGGGGCTGGAGAGCACAGGATGAAGGCAAAAGGTAGAGGGGAAGGGAGGGAAGGAGGTACGGCGGACGGTGCAGGAAATGAGAAAGAAGGATTAGTTTTTGGTTTGTTTGGAAAGGGGTAAAGAAGGAAATGGAATGAAAGAAGTTGGGGGATCGGAATTGGTTGGAAGCGGGTTTAAGAGAGGTTAGAGTAGAAAGCCAGTTACTTGAGAAATATGAAAGATCAAGGGACCATTGCCAAGCGTTATGAAAGTTTGGGTGGGGGATTGGAGAACAGTTGAGAAAGCAAAAGGTTTGGTTTAACAGAGAATGTTTTAGTTTCGTCCTATCCTTCCCCTGTCTTGGAGGTTGCAAAAGTCCTCCGAGAAAAGTTAAGCGGGAGGGCCAGTTCAGGGGATTGTGGTGGAAGAGAAGGATGATCTAATTCCCTCCAGGAAAAGTCCCCCCAAGGGCTGGTTTTGGACGGTAGAGGACACAATGGTTTTAATTGGTAATAGGATGGGGTTACTTGTGAAAACGGCAAATGGATTCAAAGGGTGGGAAAAGGGGGTGAAGGTTAGTGTTAGTCTTGAAAAGAAGGGAAAAGGCCTCCAGTTTTGGGAAGAGAGAGCAGGAGACCAGTGGACACTCCCTCTGCCAGGAGGGGTTGAAGTGTAAAATGGGGGAAGAGGAATATGCTGTGGGGAAAAGAGGAGGCCTGCCTTGGGGTGGATTGTGGTTGGATGGAGTAATCCCCCCCAGGTTTCTCAAAGTGGAGGAGGGCCAGAAAATCCAGAGACTGAAAGGGAAGCGTAAAAAGCCCGCCAGAGAATGGAATCCAGCTTAGGAAAAACCAAGCTGACCTGGGCAG